AAGTGCGTGGCATCTATTGGATGCGCCAGTCGAGCTCTGTCTCGTGCTGCTGGTGTGTAATTCCATACAACTGTGTCTCGGTTATGCATCTGAAACTAAACCTGCTCATTTATTGCTCTTTTTGGCTCTTACGTCTCTTATCTTCATCCCTGACTGATTTTGTGTTTTTCTCTCTTTCTGTTACTCTTCCTACTTCACTCACTCAGGTGGTGGCGAACGCCGTTGCCGCGCTCTCGGAGATAGCCGAGTCTCATCCCAACAGCAACCTGCTGGATCTGAACCCTCAGACAATCAACAAGCTGCTGACGGCCCTGAACGAGTGCACAGAGTGGGGCCAGATCTTCATCCTGGACTGCCTGGCCAACTACACGCCCCGCGATGACCGCGAGTCCCAGAGGTCAGTGGTCAAGGCCGAGTTGCCTCTCTGGATAATCTTGCACAGCACAGTAATGTCCAACACTGTGCACTGTTCACTATATAGTGCACTATTTTATAGTGGTGTCTGAAAACAGTAGAGGGAACATACAGTTACAGTCCCACAAGACACAACAATGAGTATCATGCAGACTAACAGTGGGATAAACTGGTATAAAATTAGAAGTTTTGGTTGAAATTTTTTCTTTCTTTTTTTTTTTTTGTATCCTTTATATCAGTATGCCAAAAATAAGAGCAGATAACATGACATACATATGTATGAGTGCAAAACCCTGGGACATTCAGACAGTTTAATGGCTGTAAATATGTGTTGAATAACTCAATTAGTGGTTCCAACCCTGCCACAGTTGTGACATGTCAGCTGCCATTTTAATTGCCATATAATTTTGATTAACAGTTTGTCTAAATGTCATTTCAACTGCTAATCACATCCTCCTGCGACCGCAATATCTAGTGTGATTCTTGTCCATCGCGCCTGCAAAAACCTAGCACTATTTTTGCCCACACCTGCCCGCTTCAACCACACGCCATGCCCACCCACCTGCTTCAGGCTGTGCTTGTGGTCCTCGTCATCTCCCAGCTTCGTTTGCTGTAATCCGCTCCACTGATGTTGGGCGTGTCCGTCCAAAACTTGTCACACAGAGGAGCCTCCAGGGCCACCGCACCTCCACACACCCAGCAGCACAAATAAACACTTCAGTGTTGCAAAATAATTTGTAATTACACAAAATATTTACTTATATTCTGCAACGCTGAAGTGTCTACACTGTCAACAGACAAGCGGGCTGCACAACAACAAAACAGCCTAGCAGCTTGGCTTCACTACAAACATTATTTTGATCTGTGTCAGCATTACAGTGTTAGCTTATTACTCTGAAGACATCTGCAAGTCAGATGAAATGTATTTAAAGCCATAATGCAGGCTGAGGTTGTGGCAGGTTAAACAGCCAATACAGTTGGAAAACTATGAGTTAGATTTTGTGCTGGTTGTTCTTTGTCTTCATGTGTTTTGCTGCTTGTGTGTTTTAGCCTGTAATTGTCCAATCCCGCCCAACTCAGCCAGCCGTAATACCCACCCACTTGAGCCCGGAACCTGTTGGCTGTTCACTCGTAATGACCATGGTGTCTCAAAATGTATCCCACCCACAATTTTTTTTAGCAGATTACGTGGTACCAGCGGGTCAGCCCACCTTGTGCTGGCCTCTACTTCCAACTGATAAGGCCTGAGCACAAATAAACGAACTTTACTCACTGCTGCCCTCTAAAGGTGTTACAGCACCAATCAGAATGTTTTGTTGTTTTTGTAAGGCCTGTGATATTTGTCAATAAATGTGTTTTCTGCTTTATTAAATTGAAAGAAGGAATTTAAGGCCTGTGATATTTGTCAATAAATGTGTAAATGTGTCAGTGTGTCAATGTGTCAATCCAACTGATGAAAAACACCCAATTCACACTGTTTTGCTTTAAACGTTTCATTGAAAGTCACCAAATTGGAAATTCATTCAATCAGCTCAGTCACATAATTGTGATTAAGCACTTATGTGGGAGCACTAAGTAGTTCATAAGGTGTTATTTTGGAAACGTCCCACTTGGCAGACAGTTTGATAGTCAGTTTTAAGCTTTTCAAATAAAAGTTGCTGCTTCAGTAAAACTATCAGAAACAAATTTGTTGCAATAAATTAAATATTGATATCAATAAGTCATTTGATTATTGACCAGGTCGACTCAAAGCCTTCTCTATCTGGTGATGATTACCTGCCTGCTAGTAATCACGGCACCAGTGGGCAGTTATCTGTCTCAGTTGCTGTAGCTGTAGCTCAGTTGATATAGCCGTAGCCTCATTGTTCATCCTCTAAGATGAGAATCTCTGCACTCTGTTCAGACATATCTTCCCAAGACTTGACACAGATCCTCCCTCTGCCTTCAGAGGTGGTCTCAAGTGTCCTACAAGCTGTTTGAGCTCATCGTTGGTCTTGTTTGGTTCTCTTCTGCAGTATCTGTGAGCGGGTGACTCCGAGGCTGTCCCACGCTAACTCCGCTGTAGTGCTGTCGGCCGTGAAGGTGCTGATGAAGTTCATGGAGATGCTCCCGAAGGACCTGGACTACTACGGGACCCTGCTGAAGAAACTCGCCCCACCGCTGGTCACTCTGCTGTCAGCTGAGCCCGAGCTGCAGTACGTGGCTCTGAGGAACATCAATCTCATCGTACAGAAACGGTGGGTGGAAAGAACTGCAGAGGTGGAATACATTACATTAGCTAACACACACATTAAAGAGACACTCCGTCCAAAACCCTTTCTGATGACACGTCTTGAAGGTGCAGGAAACTTTGGTGAAAACTACATCTGCTTCGGTTTGGACTTTGGTTTGGATACTGGCTGTTTTGACATCTGTCAAATGCAGAAGTAAAGCCAGATAGCTAACGTTACTGCTTGGAAACTAAAGACCACATTGTTAAACAGCCCTCTTCCAAAAATCCACCCTAAAGCAGATGTAGTTTTTCAGGAGTTCCTCCTACCTTTAAAGGACGTCATCAGAAGGAGTTTCCTATTCTGGCCGGAATAGTGATAATGAATGCGTTTACATGCACTCAATAATCTGATCATAATTGGATTTCTGCAGTTTTCTGATTATTCACTGTAAAAAATTATATCTTAACAAGAGAAATAATCTTAAATCTAGTCCAAATATCTAATATTTCTCATTTTGAGATGGTTGTATGAATATTATAAGATTATTAAACTTACTTCTAGATGTTTTCACTTGTTTTGAGTAATTTTATTAAGTACAATTATCTCACTATGTTGGCAGATAATTTAGCTTTTTTTTTTTAAGAAATGTACTTGAAACCAGCTAAATTATCTGCCAACATAGTGAGATGAAGTTTACTTAATAACATTACTCAAAACAAGTAGAAATGTGTAGAAAGAAGTGAAATAATCTTAAGATTACAAGGGTTTTAGAAAGGGGAATATTAGCTGTATCAACTACAATTTTACTTGCCAATAAACCATTTTTTGCAGTGTTCAAATGGTCATGTAAACAGTGTGCTTCAGTTTCTTAGATCAGATTAAGAAATCTGATAAAGAGGCTGGATTTTAGCTGGATTTCTCAGTGAATATAAACTCTTACTCTGATTTCTTTCGGATTTCTCAGTCTGCGCATGTGTGAAAACAGACTGCTGTACCGGAAATAAGCCACTTTTGGAAACACTGAAAGCAGCTACATGCTTGATGAAATGAAGGATTTAAATATTCTTCATCTTCTAGATGATGTATGTTTATATTTTCAGGTAAAGTGGCGCAATGTTAAAAAAAAAAGCCGTGTCATGAAGTCTGAGTTTTACGTTACGTTTACGTCACGTCGTCTTCTCTGAGTTTATTGGCTGGTTGTAAAGCAGAAATCTGATTACTGTCTGACTCATGTAGAACCAGAGTTTCCCCATTATCTGATTACTCAAGTCCATGTAAACGTGTTGATCAAACTACTGACAAAATCTGATTTTCTGCATTATTGGGTTATTAAGTGTATGTAAATGCACTCAGTGTTGCCAACAGTGAATGTAAGCAGATATATTCAGTGAGCATTGTGTTATGTGATGTGTGGCTGCTGGCTTCCATGTTTTAGATGCAGTCAGAGTTAGAGGCATTTTAAGGGCCAATTTTTGCCCCACTTGACTGAAATTCAGGGGCATTTTAAATGGAAATTGGATGATGAATAATGAAATATTCAGATTAATGTTTTAATCAGAATAGTGAGTAGCAATTTAGTGTTTATCGAAGCAGCGCATAGCAGTCCAGTTTATGGATGGGCACATTTTCGCTGTCTGATGATGATCAGTGGGCGAAATAATGTGCAAAACGTCTTAGTGTGGCATACATTTACATTGATTTTGAATTGATTACATTTAGACTTGCATATAATAACACAATATAACATGATTTATAACACCATTTTGGGAGCATTTTTGCTCCTGTACTTCAATTTGAAGGCCAAAAATGTTGATTTCTGACACAGGTTACATTATTGAGCTTTTCCTTTTTTATTATAGTGAAACTAACAGATCCAGTCGTCATAACATCTGGATTCAGTGCTAATATTAATTATAACAGCCTCATTTGATCATGTTGGTAATCTAGAGTTTTGGAAAATGTTATATGTCTAACAAATGCATCTTGCTAACCACCGTCCAGTAGTTTCAGATGTTGGGTCCACGTGAAGTAAACCGTTCTTTGCTCTGTCTGCAGGCCTGAGATTCTGAAGCACGAGATGAAAGTGTTCTTCGTGAAATACAATGACCCGATCTACGTCAAGCTCGAGAAGCTGGACATCATGATCCGACTGGCTTCTCAGGCCAACATCGCGCAGGTGACCACAGCACATCACGGAGACACTTCTGAAAGATGAGCCTTTTGAAAATGTGATGTTTATTTGAATCAGAATTGAATTGCCCTCTTTTAAAAATAGATAATTTGGCCAAACTGTTAGTCCACACTTCACTGATTTTCAGTATTATCAATCATAATTGATCTGGCTTTATCAGAGGGTGACTAATTTAATCTTTCAGATTTTCATTAGAGAGTACCCGACCATAACAGTATGTCTCCATAACTATACCAAACAAGAATACAAATGCGCTTTGGGTTTTTGCTCCCATTTTGCAGTAATTTGATAATAAATAAATGTTTTTTTCCTGGAAATGTGTCCAACTGCTGTGGGCCAATGGTCACACCATATACTAAAGTGGGAATTCTTCATGACCTGCCCTTCTTTTTTGCAGGGTTTCAGTAAAATCTTTTTTTTAGTTAAGTGTTGTGTTTCTATTTTGTGATCAGTATACAGGGTGATTCAAAAAGATTGATCCGATTTCAATATGATTTATTTCTCTTGTAAATCATTACAGATCAATGCAGTGAACTGTAAATGGTTTAAATGAGCATAAAGTTTATTATGTAATTTTACAAGGTCTCAATATGAACCTCCTCCAGCTGTACAGACAACATCAACGCCATAGTCAAACTCATCCCATACTGGATTGAGCATGTCGGGTGTCGCTGCACTCACGGCTCTTTCAGTGCGATTTCGGAGATCATCCAGTGTTGTGGAACCAACGACGAACGCTCTGAGCTGTTGGAGCTTCACTGCTCACGAAAATCACACTGCACAGTTATGATGGATTCACTCTTATTGAAGTGGAGAACGCAGAACGCTTTCTGCTCAGGGGTCGCCTCTCCTCTCAGACTAAAGGGAGCCATCTTCCACTGACAGTCAGAAACTCTATGACCCCCTCTTTCAATTGGATTGTGATTGGTTCCTCGGCGCCTCACGGTTGTAAAATATGGGGATTTGAAATCGGATCAATCTTTGAATCACCCTGTATTATGTTTCTCTGCCTGGTTTAGTATTTTCCTCCTCTGATTCAGTCACAGCTCGTTATCAGGCCCTGTGCGGCAGAAGCAGGTGTGCAGGAGCTGAAGGGCTCTGCCAGGTTGTGTTGTTTTAAAGTGAATGAAGTGCTGCTGTTTGTTCCACAGGTGTTGGCTGAGCTAAAGGAATACGCCACTGAGGTGGACGTGGACTTTGTCCGCAAGGCTGTCCGCGCCATCGGCCGCTGCGCCATCAAAGTGGAGGTAAAATTTCCTGTTATAAAAGTTCTTTCTTTTATTAAAGGGACTGTATCATGGAAAGGTGAATTTTTTAGTTTTTTGAAATACAAGTTTGATGTAGTTTGTAAAACATTTGTTAAAGATTCAAAAATATTCCCCAGTCTGTATTAGGAAACTACGGAAGTCCAGAGAGGCCATGAGGTAGTTATAATTTTCTGGATTGTTATCTTGAGATAACGAGTTAACTATCTTGTGATCTCAAGACAACAAAGTTATTACCTTGAGATAACAAGTTATATTGTGATCTCAGCGATAACAAAGTTATCTTGAGATAACGAGTTAACTGGCTTGTGATCTCGAGATAACAAAGTTCTTATCTTGAAATAAGTTAATTATATTGTGATCTCGATAACAAAGTTCTTATCTTGATAACGAGTTAACTGGCTTGTGATCTCAAGACAACAAAGTTCTTATCTTGAGATAACGAATTAACTGTCTTGTGATCTCAAGATAAAGTCCTTGTCTTGAGATAACAAGTTAACTATCTTGTGATCAAGATGATAAAGCTCTTATCTTGAGATAATCAAGTCAGTTGTCTTGTGATCTCAAGGTAACCCTCCAGAAAATGACTTGTAGCCTCTCCGGACTTCCGTAGTCAACTGTCTTCTATATTTACTATTTTTGTGATGTCATAACAACCAACATATTTACATATCTGCTTATTTATCCTACTGCAGTTTAGCCCCGCCCTTTCACAGTGAGACGCAACATAGGGCAGCCAATCAGAACAGAGCTTATTGACATATCTCACAGAAGCAGAAACCACCTTTTGGAAAGTGACCATGTACAAATGAGTTACGAATTTGTTATGTAAGCAGTTGGTAAATCCTTGTTTAAGTAAAGCCTCAGTTCTGGATGTTGTGCAGTGATGGATCTTGTACATTTTCACTGTACAAGTTGAACGGAGTGAGTCTGATTGATTATGTACAACATTGTGGTTCTGCAGAATCTGTCGCTTCTTTCTTTGTGAAAGATGATTGATTTTTTTTTCTCAGTGGAAAAACAGTGAAGTTGATACAGTTTCTGAGGAAATTGAGGCTAATTAAATATTGACTTCGGCAGTCTGAGTAATAAAGACGGAGGAAATTGGAACCGTATATTCATTTTCTCTCTCTTTTTGTCACTATTTCTTTCTCTCTCTCTCTCTCTCTGTCCACCCTTCCCCCCCCTCCCTCTCAGCAATCGGCCGAGCGCTGTGTCAGCACCCTGCTGGATCTCATTCAGACGAAGGTGAACTACGTGGTGCAGGAGGCCATTGTGGTCATCAAGGACATTTTCCGCAAATACCCCAACAAGTAGGTGCCCCCGCCACCACCTCTGCATAGAGGGAGAGAGAGATGGAGGAAGGCTTTATCTCTCTCTCCCTCTGTGCCCCCCCACCACCTCTGCATAGAGGGAGAGAGAGATGGAGGGAGGCTTTATCTCTCTCTGACAGCTGTGCTGAGACGGTAGAGGGTCTAAAACCCCCTCCCATGTCTCACTGCTGTCTTTCTGTCTTTCTTTCTGTCTTTCTTTGTGTTGGTTTTTCTTCCCTTCTTTCTTTCTTCAGCCTTTTTTATCTGTTTTTTCAACCTTTCTTCTTTATTATTTCATTTTTCTGCCCTTTTCTTCTGGACACAAACCGACTCACACATTAACCTGAATATATAAACCCCCCTTTCTCAGATATCAGTGTGTGGTCTGTAAACACCCCCTCCCACTAATCCCATCAGCAGCCGCCCTTTTTTCTGAGCAAGCAGAGATTCACACTGTAATAGTAACACACTGAGTCACTGATTGTGGTCCGAGATGTTTGTTTACTTTCACATGATGCTGCTGTTCTAATTCTTGCTATACGTTCTTTTCCAAATCAGTATAGACATTCTTACAGGCCGCACACACAAAGAAGAATTTACCCTTTGCGTCTCTCTTTTTCTGCCATATTTTTCCTCGCTTATTTGAAGTAAAATGTGATGCAGCATGTGAACATTTTTCATACCGTTCACCCTCCTTTCCATACCATCCATCCATACATGGAAACTGAGCTGCCAACTCAGCATGTTTTGAATTGTTTTTGTGATGTCACAAATCCACCCGTTCAAGCCTATAGCAGTTTAGTCCCACCTATTCATGCTGAATTAGTGTTTCACGTAGCGACTGCTTTCTGAATGAGGCACAATACAGGGCAACCAATCAGCACAGAGCTCATTTACATATCAGTCTTAAAGGAAACGGGGAAAAAACATAATTTAGCCATAAAGAGAGGTTGGAAAGTGGTCATCTTTGGGGTTTTGGTATGTACGACTGCACAGACTTTATGGGTGGATAAGATAAAAATTAAATTCTTTAATGTTAATTTATTAATGCTAATTTATACCTAGTTTAAAAGGCAGTGAAACCTTAATAAAGCAGAATATAAATAGCTATTGGATGGGCCTCTGATTATAATAATTACAGTCTTCACAGATTCTGCACAAATATATGTTTACAAAGGCCTGTAAACGGCGCCGGTTTTGTACACAACATGCAGATAATCAGGAAACCAGCTGGACTGATTATAAACGCTAATAAATCCATTCGTCTCCAAAATTATGAATGTTCATCTTAAATCTCTCTCTTCGCTTTTCCGTTAGCTACGAGCTGGGCGAGATTGTCTGTGTTGCTATGGTGACCAGCAGTCTGCGTGCCAGTCTACAGGGTTAAAGGGTGAATTAGCAGGTCTGCATTAACTCCAGAGTTTAAGACCTGCTTTCTTTCTTTATCTCTTTTCTTTATCTTTCATCTTTTTCTTTCTTTATCTCTTTCGTTCTTTCTTTCTTTGTTCTTTCTTTCTTTCTTTCTTTAGCCTTTTCTGCCTTCTTTTTCAACCTTCTTTCTTTCTTTCTTTCTTTTCTTTATCTTCCATCTTTTCTTTCTTTCCTTCTTTTTCTTTCTTTATCTCTTTTGTTCTTTCTTTCTTTCTTTCTTTCTTTGTTCTTTCTTTCTTTCTTTTTTTAGCCTTTTCTGCCTGCTTTTTCAACCTTCTTTCTTTCTTTTTTTCTTTCCTTCCTTCTTTCATTTTTGTTGTTCTTTTAACCTTTCTTTCTTTCTTTTTCCTTTTTCTTTCTTTTTTATCTTTCTTACTTTTTATCTTTTTCTTTCTTTTCTTTACCTTTTTCATCTTTTCTTTCTTTCTTTTTCTTTCTCCCTTTTTCCTTCTTTCTTTCTTTCTTTCTTTCTTTCTTTATCTTTGTTCTTTCTTTTTTTCTTTATCTTTCTTTCCTTCTTTCTTTCTTGCTTTCTTTCTTTGTATTTCTTTCCTTTTTATCATTCTTTCTCGGTCTTTCTTTCTGTCTTTCTTTGTGTCTTTTTTTGTGTCGTTCTTTCTTTCATTCTTTCAACCTTTCTTCTTTATTTTTTGCTTCTTTTTTTTCATTTTTCTGCAGTTTTCTTCTGAATTTATTTCTTGAAAATAATCCCAAATTAAATCGCAGTTGCAATGTTAGTCAGAAAAATCCCAATTTTTTCAATATTTTTCCCAAATCGTTTGGCCCTAGTTTTACTGTAGGCCAGCAGGGAAATGCTTTGTGTTACATTCAGCCTCTGTAAGGAACGCGGCTCTGTGCCGTTCAGAGAAGGCAGTTAAACACTAATGTAGTGAAAGCCCTGACGGTTTGATGAGATTGTTCATTTTATTTGCATAACGCCCCACACCCCCCTGCCGTTTCTGACTGGTCGTTATCCGATAGCACTGCAGGTGGTTTTTTTTATGGCGGGAAGATTCACTTCCTTTCATTAACACTTTATCAGGAGAGAGAGAGAGAGAGAGATGGGGTCCTGTAAGCTCAGAAGCTTTTAGAGTGTCTAAACAAATGGATGCTGTGACATAATCATTCAGCTCAGATGAGATGTTTGTTTATCTCTCGTTTCATTACCCAGCAGATGTCTACCAGGATATTTCTTTAGGTCGATAAACGTAATCAGAAGCTGGTTAATTCAGCTCCGTTGCTGAATGTCGAATGATTAGCAGAAATGAGAAACTCATAAGAGGCAGCGTGAGGGAGATAAAGTGAGAATGTTGTGTATTTGTCCACCAAATTCCCACTTTCTAACCCTGCATTCACACCGGCAGCGACTTTTAGCCATTTCTCGCCCAAACCACTGATCGCTTATCGCTTGTGAGTGTCTCTGAACTCCAAAGGTCCGTTGTTTGCCATGGTTTCACTGACGCCAAGCGCAAATCAGATGCATTCCTGCTAAAAATAAAAATCCGGCAGCACTCATCTGCTGCAGCACAGTCTTTGTTGGTCATCCTCTAGTCCTTCATCAGTGGTCACAGGACGCTGCCCACAGGACGCTGTTGGCTGGATATTTTTGGTTGGTGGACTATTCTCAGTCCAGCAGTGACACTGAGGTGTTTTAAAACTCCAGCAGCACTGCTGTGTCTGATCCACTCAGACCAGCACAACACATACTAACACACCACCACCACGTCAGTGTTACTGCAGTGCGGAGAATGATCCACCACCCAAATAGTACCTGCTCTGTGAGGGTCCTGACCACTGAAGAACAGGGTAAAAGGGGGCTAACAAAGTATCAGAGAAACAGATGGACTACAGTCTGTAACTGTAGAACTACAAAGTGCACCTATATAGTAAGTGGAGCTGATAAAATGGACAATGAGCGTAGAAACAAGTAGGAGGTCATAATGTTATGCCTGACCGGTGTAAGTGTATATACAAAAAACAATGAAGTTCATAAGGTAAAACATAAAATATGGTGCTTTTGTACCATTTTCAATATAATACAGGTCACAGATTTTACTTTTCACTGCTTTCTTTTGTTTCTTGCCGTTTCACATTCTTTCCCAACTTTTTTGGAATTGGCTTTTTAACTAAAGAATGAACGATTGTGTCTGCTTTCAGGTATGAGAGCGTGATAGCCACCCTCTGTGAGAATCTGGACTCTCTTGATGAGCCGGAGGCCCGCGCAGCCATGATCTGGATTGTGGGAGAGTATGCAGAGAGAATTGATAATGCAGACGAACTGCTGGAGAGCTTCCTGGAGGGATTTCACGACGAGAGCACACAGGTAACATAAACGCTCACCCCTGCACAACAAGAGCACTCAGCTACTGCTAATGAGAAACTGTAGAACAGACTCGTTTATATCGCAATACCTACATTTAGAGTCGGTTATTCATTCAGCCTAATGAGAAACTGAAGAACAGACTCGGTTTATATCACAATACCTACATTTAGAGTCGGTTATTCATTCAGCCTAATGAGAAACTGTAGAACAGACTGAGTTTATATCACAATACCTATATTTAGAGCCGGTTATTCATTCAGCTTAATGAGAAACTGTAGAACAGACTCAGTTTATATCACAATACCTACATTTAGAGTCAGTTATTCATTCAACCTAATGAGAAACTGTAGAACAGACTCAGTTTATATCACGATACCTACATTTAGAGCCAGTTATTCATTCAGCCTAATGAGAAACTGTAGAACAGACTCAGTTTGTATCACAATACCTACATTTAGAGTCAGTTATTCATTCAGCCTAATGAGAAACTGTAGAACAGACTCGGTTTATATCACAATACCTACATTTAGAGTCAGTTATTCATTCAACCTAATGAGAAACTGAATTGTTTATCCCCAGCTTTATAAACAAGCAGCAGTTGGCCTGAAACTAATCTGAGGCGGAGTATGGATTATGGGAATCAATTTGAAAAGTTGCAATCAGTCCTGGAGCAGCTGGAGCTGCTGTTCAAGTGCAGTTTAACACACATGCTTGCTCTCCTTTATCTCTCCTCCTTATTTTCTGTGTTGTAAACACTTTGCAGTCTGCTTATGATTTAGACTGGAATAGTTTCGGCCTGTTCGCCTGTCCAAGTTTAATTCAGAGGTTCTGACTGGTAGCAAAGATTGGATCTGAAGTGATTTGGGCTCTGATGGTGCCTCAGTATAGCCACTCCAGAAGCCCTGCTCATACACTTCAGTCCCAGAGGCCACCTTTGCTTTACAGCGACCTGTTTCAGTAATGATAGGTGAGGGTGAGTGAGGTGCGTCAGAGCAGGGTAAGCAGAACCTGAGCAGAGCTGCAGCTGAGAAACATATTGAAGGGGTGTTCAGACAACGAGCACACGTCTTTTCATTGTTGTCTGGGGGGCAACATGCACTGCAACTGAAAAGCTCTCCTCTAGCCTGCGCGGTGGGCTTCACATTGAGTGTGTTTACATGCACTTAATAATCTGATAACTGCAGAAAGTCAGATTTTGTCAGTTATATGATCATGAGTTTACATGCACTTAGGTAATCATCATCATCATTAACCACTTAATTCAGACAGGGTCATGGTAGCAGTTGGGAAGAGCAGAGAATCCCAGACGACCCTGTCCCCTTCAACTTCCTCTAGCCCGAGATACTTAAACTCCTCCACCTGGGGCAGGTCCTCTCCCCTTACCTGGAGTGGGCATGCCATCCTTTTCCTGGCTAGGTAATCAGATAACTGTAAAACGCTGGGTCTACATGAGTCAGACAGTAATCAGATTTCTGCTTTACAGCCAGCCAATAAACTCACAGAAGACGACGTGACGTAAACGTAATGTAAAAACATCACACCACTTTATCTGACAATATGAAAAAACATCGTCTAGAAGATGAAGAATATTTAAATCCTTCGTTTCGTCAAGCATGTATTTGGTTTCAGAGTCGCTCCAAAAGTGTTTTGCTGCGTCTCACGGCGACGCTTATTTCTGGTACCGCCGCCTGTTTTCACACCTTACTCCAATCTAAGAAATCAGAATGAGCTGTTTACGTGACCGCTTGAATAATCAGATAACTGCAGAAATCTGATTATGATCGGATTATCGAGTGAGTAAACGCACTCGCTGTTAAACCAAAACAGACAGGAACCAGAACTACTGTGATCAAGTGCTGCTGATGGAATTGATCAGATCTGTGCGTTGGAGTGCGGCGAGAAGTCAGGAGCCAAACCTGTGTTCTTCTGATCTTCGTATTCATAACTTCACTGGAAACAACACGTTCTTGTTATGTTTGTGTTTATTCTAATGCTATACAGTGTATACTTACTGACTTACGTAATGCCCAAGACTTTTGCACAATAGATGCAAAAGATTGATGCTTTGTTTCTTCGTTTTATTCACTAGTTAATAAATGAGTGAGAGTAAATAAATAAATAAGTAAATAAATGAATTTTACTCATCCAACAGAATCTGAGGCCCAATCCCATTTCTTATTTTTACCCCTACCCCTTGTTTTGAGTGTCGCCCCTTGGAACTGAGTTACAGGGTAGTGGTTGAAATCTTCCCTCTGAAATGGGACCCTCAAATAAAAAGAGCATCACTTCATTAACAGCTACCAGCGCTGCTCTGTAGGCGACCCTGTCAGTCTGCAGTGACAGCAGAGGAGGGTAAAGTTCAGCTCCTCACTGCTGGGCTTTAGTTACATTTAGGGCATCATATGCCTTCAAAGAGGGGGGCAATTATTTATTATCACCCACCCTTAATTCTTCAGTGATACGAAGCTGAAGTCAGATATTTGCCAGCTTCTTGTTTGAATCTTCCCGTTCCACCTTAAATGGAGCAGCAGTTACATTCTGGTGCTTCAGACATCAGAACTGCTGGACTATTTAAGGTGGAACAGGAAATTTAGCTAGCTGCCAAATCATCATCACATTGAAACAACGATAAACTAAGATAATTTAATGGTTATCGTAATTTTTTTAACAGAAAAAATGTTACATTTGTGTGTTTCTTTGGTCTCTTATTCAGCCGTCTTGCCGGGTTTTTCTTTTTTTGTCATAACTCTCTGTTTGGAGGCCTTGAAAAACCTTTGTTTGGGGGGCCATGTAGCCCCAACACCTCGCCCTACCCTTCTATCGCAACAAAAACCAGGACACCCTACCCCTAGACGTGAACCTGAGGGGTAGGGCTAAGTGGTAGGGGCGAGGGGTGAAATGGGATTGGGCCTTAGTCACCCAGCAGTGCTAAGAGTGGTTAGTTAATGTTTGTTTGTAATATTTTAGCAGCCTCTCTGTTTATAAACCACACTGCTCACCTGGTGCTCTGCAGGTGCAGCTGCAGCTGCTGACGGCCATAGTGAAGCTGTTCCTGAAGAAACCTACTGAGACCCAGGAGCTCGTTCAGCAGGTGCTCAGCCTGGCCACACAGGTGAGACTGCACACACACTAGTGATGGTTCTTTTTCTACTGCCAGTGTATCTTGATAGGACATTTTCACAACCTCACATCTCCAGTGCTTTGATAGAACAGATTACTGTCCAATACGAACTGCTTTGCAGTGGAATTACTCACGTAGTGCTCAATGCATGTTCATTAGAGTGACCAGCTGTAGCGAAGTCATTTAGAACTGTGCCGTGACTCCCTGCAGGATTGATTAGTCTGAGTTTCTCACATCCATCAGCGGAATTGCTGTCTGGGTTTGCGTGTGCGTTTGAGGAACAAGCCTTTCCTGCTAATTACGGCCATGTAGCATGAAGCACCCGTCGCTCTGTGCTGCATTTGAGAGTGACACCTTTTTCTTTAGCTGTTGAAATATGTCTTAAAATCAGAACATACTGAGCTCCACACTGCAAAACCATTTTCTTTAAGATCCTATTTGTCTACCCCAGGGGTCGGCAACATGCAGCCCTTTTACTGCCCTGTTGTGGCTCCACAGCTGAATTAGATTAGTAGGTAAAAATAAAATAATCCTCCTTTACAGTAAAATAAAGCTCTGCTGATCGTTCAACACAGTTTAACAATAAATGGTCTTAAACTCTGGGGTTAATGTAGAACTGCTAATTCACCCTTTAACCCCGAAGGTTTGCGTGCAGACTGCTGGTCTAGCAACACAGCTAGCAACACAGACAACAATGACGCCTAGTTAGTAGCTGCGAAACGGCAAAGAGAGAGATTTAAGATGAACATCGATAATTTGGAGACCAATTGATTTATTTGCATTTATAATCACTCCAGCTGGTTTCCTGATATGTTTAATCTTCAACGAGAAACGTGAATTTTCCCGTTCCACCTTAAATGGTGCAACAGTTACATTCTGCCACCTCAGGCACCATTTAAGGTGGAATGGGAAAATTAGAACAAGAAGCTGGCGAAAGAGAATCTGACTTCAGCCTCACGACTTCTTAGTGTTTGAGTTTCTCGTTGCAGATTAAACGTATCAGGAAACCAGCTGGAGTGATTATAAATGCAAATAAGTCAATTGGTGTCCAAAGAAGCTGGAGACGAAGCTGATTTCAGCCTCGTAAAAAAATCAAATGTTGAGACATTTTACAAGAAACTGTTCAACTTTTGAGGAAAAGTTTCCTGCCGGAGATGCGAGAAAAGCGGCTATAGCTGAGCTAAAGCTTAAAGCAGAGCAAATTTAGTCTGCATTTTTGTATATATTATATTTTTTAGCCTATAATAGTACATTAACACATACTGGGACGTATTTACAGCCAAGATGGTAAAACATTGCTTCAGTAAAAATGTTGTGGCCTCCCAAGCTGGTTTGATTTTTGTTGAAAGGACAAAATGGCTCTTCTAAACATTTGGATTGCAACCCCTGGTCTACTCAATACATGTAGTATTTCTAATGAGAATAAGAGTATTTTGTTCAGTTTTAACAAGTTTTAAAGAGGAATTCAATTCAGTTCAGTGGTTAAGATGGAAATAAAGTCGCTGAGCATTATTTGATGTGAAATGATCCACTCTAGACCATGACTACAAAACATGTATATAGACATTTTATTTACTGTCCAAAACCACCAATGAACCTAAATGTGTCTTCTGAGTTTGTATATGGAATGTTGAAAGAAACCTATAATAAAATATATTTTTTTGGCCAATTTGGCAAAACTGCATCTCTGATATCAGGCAGTGTACTCATAACCATGGGAGCTTTTAGAGGTGGACGTCTGGTTCCTATCACCACCGGTTTTAGTCCTGTGTGTATCCCTCCACCATGGATATATTTTTAAAAGTATGTTTTTGGGCCAAAAACTTTGTAAAACTATCCTGAACAGTGTCTCAGACTTTAGGCACAATGTTTAGAGTATTTTTTCTCTATGTTGGAAAGAGGATAAATCACAGTGTAGGTTCAGTCCAGTTTGGTTTATTTATAACAATTTCATGCAATAACAGTGGTGGATGCAGTACACAAATCATGTACTTGAGTTAAAGTAGAAGTTCCTCCCTTTAGATCTCCACTTGAGTAAAAGTACAAAAGTATTTGCCTTCTAATGTACTTAAGTATCAAAAGTAAAAGTACTGAAAAGATTAATTATGACTTTAATGTCCTGTTACCATTTTTGTAAGAAGACTCGCTTCATTAACTCATTCTAGGTGAAAATACTCCAGTGTCTCTCTTGGTAAACCAGTCTTTTAATAGAAGGTCATTAATTAGTGACGCTGATGTTTATTAAAATTATCATAAGCACAAAACACTGAAGGCAAACAGTTTCCATCAGGTAGAACTGAGCGGCTCTGAAATCACTTTTTACAAACAAGCAAAGTTTCAGTTTAAAATTTATTTACAACTTAGTTACAAGTTTAACTTGCTTTAAACAGGTTTGCAAATGAGTTTTCCTTTACTATATTGCATCTGTAGGTCTCTTAGTAAACTACCTAAGTACAGTAACGAATTACATTTGCTTCGTTACTGTCCGCCACTGTGTGATAACATTCTGTGCGGGAATTTTGAGAGGTGGACGTCTGGTTCCTATCACCAACACTGTGAACAGTTTCTCCAGAACAGAGCGTTTCACACCAAACCACTCTTAACGACTCCGTTTACGTCTTAACCATTTATTCACAGAGAATGTTTTATGTGATTCTATCTTATGAACTTCTCTCACTGCACTGCAGATAAGAAATAATGCTTGCAGTAAAGGTATCTGTCAGTGGAATAAGATCCTTTTACGGTGATAAAAGTATGTAAAATGTCTAAATGTTCAGAATAGTTTGGCTTGTCTTTTAGTGTTCATACAGCAGTATCATAATGCGAAATATTAGACTTTGTCCACATTTAAGATCCTTTTACCTGCCAAGTTTTCATTTTTACAGTGTGTTTCTACTCTGTCAAACAGAACTAAGAAACTGGTTTGGTCTGCTTTCTGGCTTGTACGTTGGTATTTGTTTGGGAATGGTGACAAATGTTAGAGAATATTGGGTCGGAGTGCTTTGGGCATTCAGCTACACACTAACATCTGCATCAGTCTCAGTACCTGGCAGTTAAACAACAGCCTGGAGATTCATTTTTCTTGCACCAGCTGCTGCGAAACTGAAGTAACACTTTTGTGTTTTGAAGTTCAAATGGGGCAGTTTTCTCACAGGAGGAGCTTGTTTTCCTGACTGGGTCGCGTGTCAGAAGTAAACAGAAAATACAGAAGTTCTGAAACAGTGGTGTGTTTACTAGCCAGCAATCAGTTGACATCTATTGATTTGGGCGTGTTTACAGGTGTTTTTGCCTGCAGATGTAGTGGAGTTAACTGTATTACATATATGATAATGATAAAATATCATCGTGATGCCCATCTCTACATTAATCAAGTCGAAATCGAACAACATTTCGGTGCGGTCAAGCTTGGTATAACAGGACCTCATGAGCCGAGTTCTTTATGACAAACCACTTTGGCAAAAAATGCATTAATGAATAAACCAACACTGAAGAAGTGTTCCTAAAGAAGTGATGCAAGTGATTGCGTAATGATGACATCATCAGATTCAGGGAATTGTGTGCATAAAGGGCGAGGCCAAAAACCACAGCATCATGACCATGTCTTTAGAAACGTCACATTAAAAAATGACATGCTTCTGTGATTGATATGTAATATATAAATGCTTATTGACCAGTTAGACATAAGTATAAACCTGTTTTACGGCACTACACATGCATGGGATTAATTCTTTTTACTGCCAGTGTATCTTGATAGGAAAGTTTCATAATCTGCCGTCTCTAGTGCTTTAAGAAAGCAGTCAGCCACTCCACTTTACATCATCCCTTAAACTCCCTTCCCCCTGATAAAATCGCAGTAACGCACAGCCTCACCTAACTTACTACTTTTATGAAATGGCAGGCAATGTAAAATATTATAAAATACACCATTTTTCAGATAATTTATTATTGATAAAAAGACATAAACAAGTATTCCGCCAAGAAATGTAGTTTCTTTAGAGTACGATATCATTTCCAAGCAACCGTGGACGCTGAATGTGGAGCATGTTTGGTTGCCCATCGCTATACACTGCGGCCATTTCATGAATTTTTAAACTTTTTGTTGTATAACAGTGAACATATGATATCACAGCACTGTTTAATGCAGAAACCTTTGCTTTATAAGTACTTTTTAGGCACCAAATTAGCACCGTGAGTCTTATTTAGCACCAATCCAGCGACGCCCTCTTCTCATGCTGGCCCTGAATCTCAAACAGCTCCCTGCTCCCTACATAGTGCACTACATAGGAGTTTAAATACTGGATCCTGCAGCCCAACAGAGCAAAATACAGCTAAGAAACAGTCGTTTGGGACTCAGACACATCCACACTGGATACATGATGCACTGTTTGGCTGTAGAGGCTAGAATTTCTAAACTTTCATAGCTAGAACACTATTTAGGGAGTACGGAGCCGTTTGGGATTCAGCCTGGGTTTGACGACTTTTGACTGAAACACAGACATTTGAAGTGTGTAAAACATTCAAGTGACATTTTTAGACTTTTATACTGCAGTTTTACAGGTAATCAGACCGTAAGTGCTTTAATTCAAGTCTGTGATATTAATGATGGTTCTGTTTAGGCTGTTGGCTCTTTTAGCCTGTTAGCCAGCTGACCAGCCTGGTTCTAGTTAAGAACATAAGTCGTCAGCCCCTAAGTTTAAACAAAAAACGGGTTCTTACTTCATCGATATACTCCGGTGATCCATGTGAGCAGCATGAGAGTCAAAGATTATTCCATTAACAGCACAAAGGTGTGTTCATGCTGTGGTGCAGTGATACGGGGTTCAGTCATTGTGAGGTGGTCATAGGTGTGCATATATCGTGGATTTTACAACGACTTCGAAAACAGCTCAGCCAATCAGATTTTAGTACCGGAACTGTCCGTTTAATAAAACTGGTCACCATCCAATGTAAACCACTTTAGAATGAAATCACACAAGATTTATTCAAAGTCTGCAACACGATACCTCTCACTGTAATGAGTTCAGTTTCACTCACAAAGTTTCACTGACGCAAAACGCTGGGATGACCGGACTGAACACCAATTGATGATATAATTATTGAACTGTGTCAGTGTTTGAGTGAATACGCTGCTCTGTCACGGTCAGGGAGGCTTTGAGCGAGTGCTGTGCCCTCTGTTTCGTTATTAACTTTGAGAGCGAGTGCCAGCGGCCTCTCTGAATGCCAGGATTCTGTCAGAATAAAAAACTTTATTTCAGCTCTGGAGCCCACGTCATGCCCCTCAGCATCTGATTTGCTCTTGCCCTGTCTTTGGCTCTGGCTTTGTTGCTGCATTGCTCTGTGTTATTACTCAGCTCAATCTGTAAACTGGAATGGTCATGCATTATTTAGAGGAGAGCGCCCTGTGCCTTTGCTCTGTGCTGTCAGAGACATTAGTCAAACACACAAAACTTACCAGGCTGTCTTTTTTGGGCCTTTTTTGGGTCCATTACTCATCTATCAGTCAGTATTTGAAGTTGAAACTAGGGTGACACTTTATTTTGAGTGTCTTTTTAGATGAAATAAACAAGTCAAGTCAAATTTATTTATATAGAGCCTTTTACAACAGATGTTGTCACAAAGGAGCTTTACAGAGAATCCGGGTCCACATCCCCAGTGAGCAAGCCTTGGCGACAGTGGCAAGGAAAACTCCCTCAACAGGAGGGATAAGGGGGACAGATAGTTAGGGAAACAAATTAACCAAAGGCTCGACTAAACAGGAAAGTGTTTAGCCTAGACTTAAAGATGGAGGCTGTGTCTGAGTCACGAACACAGACTGGTGGGCTATTCCAAAGCTGGGGGGCTGTGTATGAAAAGGCTCCTCCCCCTGACGTAACTTTATTTATTCTGGGTACTAATAATGAGCAGCACCTTGTGATCTAAGTGGGCGTGTTGGTTCATAATAGGAAATAAGGTCACTGAGGTACTGAGGATCAAGGCCATTCAGAGCTTTATACGTCAGCAGAAGAATTTTGTACTCAATGCGGAATTTAACTGGCAACCAGTGTAAGGTACACAACATTGGGCTAATGTGGTCGAATTTCCTGGTTTTGCTGAGAACTCTGGCTGCAGCGTTCTGGACCAACTGAAGCTTGTTAAGGTTTTGGCTGGAACAGCCAGAAAGCAGAGCGTTACAGTAATCTAACCTGGACGTAATAAAGGCATGAACTAACGTTTCTGCGTCCTGTAGCGACAGTGCATTTCTTAATTTAGCGATGTTACGCAGGTGGAGGAAAGCTATTCTGGTAATATTGGTAATTTGCTCATCGAAGGCCAGATCGGGATCGATCGTGACACCAAGGCTTTTTACAGATGTGCCTGGTGTAACTGAGAAACTATCGAGATTAAGAGTAAACATAGGCCTAGCAGCTTTTGGACCAAGAAGAAGAACTTCTGTTTTGTCCGAATTTAGTAAGAGGAAGTTACTTGACATCCAGTCTTTAATGTCTTGTACACAGTCCTCTATCTTATTAAGTTCGATTTTGTCCTCTGGTTTAGCTGAAATATACAACTGTGTATCATCGGTATAGCAGTGGATGTGATGCCATGTTTTCTAATGATGATACCTAGTGGTAGCATATATAAGGTAAATAATATGGGTCCTAAGACAGAGCCCTGTGGAACACCATACTTTACTCTTGTGAGAGCTGATCGTTCACCGTTTACATTAACAAACTCAAAGCAATCACTAAGGTAAGATTTGAACCACGAAAGAGCTTTACCTGTCACTCCTACTAGTTTCTCAAGCCTGTCTAAACACTCAACAGACTGTCAGTAACATTGACATATCAGTGATGTAGCAGCCGTGAAAACATTCAGTACGTTATACACCGATCAGGCATAACATTATGACCACCTCCTTGTTTCTACGCTCATTGTCCATTTTATCAGCTCCACTTACTATATAGGTGCACTTTGTAGTTCTACAGTTACAGACTGTAGTCCATCTGTTTCTCTGATACTTTGTTAGCCTCCTTTTACCCTGTTCTTCAGTGGTCAGGACCCCCATGGACCCTCACAGAGCAGGTACTATTTGGGTGGTGGGTCTCAGCACTGCAGTAACACTGACGTGGTGGTGGTGTGTTAGTGTGTGTTGCGCTGGTACGAGTGGATCAGACACAGCAGTGCTGCTGGAGTTTTTAAACACTGTGTCCACTCACTGTCCACTCTATTAGACACTCCTACCTCGTCAGTCCACCTTGTAGATGTAAAGTCAGAGACGATAGCTCATTTGCTGCTGCACAGTTTGTGTTGGTCATCCTCTAGTCCTTCATCAGTGGTCACAGGACGCTGCCCACAGGACGCTGTTGGCTGGATATTTTGGTTGGTGGACTATTCTCAGTCCAGCAGCGACACTGAGGTGTTTAAAAACTCCAGCAGCACTGCTGTGTCTGATCCACTCAGACCAGCACAACACACACTAACACACCACCACCACGTCAGTGTTACTGCAGTGCTGAGAATGATCCACCACCCAAATAGTACCTGCTCTGTGAGGGTCCATGGGGGTCCTGACCACTGAAGAACAGGGTAAAAGGGGGCTAACAAAGTATCAGAGAAACAGATGGACTACAGTCTGTAACTGTAGAACTACAAAGTGCACCTATATAGTAAGTGGAGCTGATAAAATGGACAATGAGTGTAGAAACAAGGTTTAGCTGATCGGTGTATATTTCTGTATGTAATATCTGTAGATGTTTAACCTGAGAGGAACTGAACGTGTAACAGGTTTAATACTGACCATCAACATCCTCAACAAGCTGTTACAGACACACTGACAGCATCCTAAACCTGGAGCTGTACTGGATTAGGGTTTGGTTAAGGTTAGGATTAGGGCCAGGATGAGGGCCAGGGTTAGGGTTAGATATTGGGTTAGGTTAATTTTTCTTAATGGAAGTACAATATAAAGTTTATCTTCCTGTAACGTTCTAACAGTACATCTACTTAATGTAAATAATGTATAAACAGTACATCAAGATATTTGCCTCAATGTATTCAGATGCTGCACTACTGCAACTTCACTGATGTTTCACAGATTTAACTTACTCAAAGTAAATTGTTACCAAAACTAGTATGTAAAACTTATTAAAAGAAAAAAAAAACTGTATTTTTTCATGTGCTGATTTGGTCATTTTTACACTCAAAATCTGGAATGCAATGTTCTCCTTTCCTGTTTTTAAAAATCCAGGATTCGGATAACCCTGACCTGCGGGACCGCGGCTATATCTACTGGCGTCTGCTCTCCACCGACCCCGTGGCTGCTAAGGAGGTGGTTCTGGCTGAGAAGCCGCTGATCTCAGAGGAGACCGACCTGATTGAGCCCACCCTGCTGGACGAGCTGATCTGCCACATCGGCACCCTGGCCTCCGTCTACCACAAACCACCCAGCGCCTTCGTGGAGGGCGGCCGCGGAGTCCAGCACAAGCGGCTACCAGCTCGTGCTGGCTCGTGAGTCTTATTTTAACACACTTATCTTGTACACTATGGCCAAAAGTATGTGGACAGCCCTTCTAGCTATTGGGTTCAGGTGTTTCAGCCACACTCAATGCTAACAGGTGTATAAAATTAAGCATGTGCAGTCTCCATAGACTAGTCGGCAACATACGGCTCTTTTTCTGCCCTGTTGCGGCTTCGCAGCAGAATTAGATTTTTAGGTAAAAATAAAATAATCCTTTTTTGCAGAAAAATAAAAACTGATAATTCTAACACAGTTTTAACAATAAATGGTCTTAAACTCTGGAGTTAATGTAGAACTGCTAATTCGCCCTTTAACCCTGAAGATCAGCGCAGACTGCTGGTCACCACAGCAGCGCAGACAAGAATCTTGCCTAGCTAGTAGCTAACGAAATGGCAAAGAGAGAGATTTAAGACGAACATCGATCGATTTGGAGATGAATGATCTTATTTGCATGTATAATCACTCCAGCTGGTTTCCTGATACGTTTAATCTGCAGTGAGAAACTGTTAAACACTGAAAAGTCATGAGGCCAAAGTCAGATTCTCATTCTCCAGCTTCTCGTTTGAATTTTCACGTTCCACCTTAAATGGTGCAGCAGTTGCATTCTGGTGCCACAGGCACCATTTAAGGTGGAATGGGAAAATTCGAACAAAAAGCTGAAGAATGAGAAGCGAATTCAGCCTCGTAAAAAGTTGAACGTTGAAAGACATTGGAACTTTTGGAAAAGTTTTCTGCCAGAGATGTGAAAAAAGCGGCTATAGCTGAGCTAAAGCTTAAAGCAGAGCTAAGTAGGTCTGTGTTTTCGTTTAGATTATATTTTTAGTTTATACCAGGAAATCAGCACATATTAAGACACACTTTCAGCCCAGACAGTAAAACGTTACTTCAGTGAAATGGGCATAAAATGTTGTGGCTCCCAAGGTTGAAAGGACAGAATGGCTCTTCTTAACGTTTGCATTGCCGACCCTTGGTCTAGGAGCAGCAACAACTCCACAAACCAGTGAAGTGGTAGACCACGCAAACTCATAAAGAGCGGGGCCGCTATGAACTGGAGCGCACAACGTGTAGAAATCGCGTGTCCTCTGTTCACTCATTGGTCACTCATTGCTGACACAGCTTGTTTAATCTCCATAGAAAAGCATTGCTGAATAGAATGGGACACTCTGGAGAAGCTGCAAATGAGGCCAATGCCAAGTGCTGGCTAGAGGGGCATAAAGCCCCCCAGCACTGGGCTGTGGAGCAGTGGAACTGTGTTCTCTGGAGTGATGGAGCTCCATCCAGTACCTTTGGGATGAGCTGGAGTGATCCAGAACTGACCATCCAACATCAGTACCTCACTAATGCTCAATCAAATCTTCACAGCAATGTTCAACATCTAGTGAGAAGCTTTACCAGAAGAGCAGAGGCTGTTACTGCAGCAAAGGGGGACAAATTCACTATTAATACCCCTCATTTCAGAAGAAACGTTGGTGTCTACAAACTTTTGGACATGCTGTGTATGATTTGGTTGGGTCAGAGCAGTGAAAACTAGCATTTTAATTAATATGCTGAGTGGTTTTTTTGATGTGGACAGTGCTTTCCTGTGTGATTTATACAGTATTTGGTTTGATATAACTCTTTATTTCCCTCTCTCTTCAGCGGTGAGAGTGCTGAAAGCCCAGAAGTTGGCCAGTCGGTGAGTGGAGCCTCCGATGCTCCACCTGCTGTCATTCCATCCCAGGGTGATCTCCTAGGTGACCTCCTGAACCTAGACTTGGCTCCACCCACCAGCAACGTGCCTCCTGTGCCCTCCTCGATGCAAATGGGGGCGATGGACCTGCTGGGTGGAGGGCTGGACAGCCTGGTAGGTCTACAGCGCTCATCACTGATGATATTGCATTCAGTAAATCATATCAGAGGTGCTGCATTAAAGCAATAAGAGCTCAACCTGAGCCTCACACAGTATTTGATTGACATAAAACCACTCAACTGACTTAAAAGGCACTTGCCAATGACATCTTGTCAAGTAAAATCATCTAAGATTTTCTGTTGATTTTCTAGTAAATATATATTTCTAATTAGGCAAGGTTTTAATTATGAATGTGTTATTAATAGATGGAATTATTACCTATTTCTTGACATTTTTACTTGTTAAGTCATTTTAGCTAGTGAAATTATTGCGTTCCATCGGCAGACGGTTTTGCTTGGGAACAAAACAGTGCTTCTGAAATAAGAATTTCTCTTGAAACTAGCAAAAATGTCTCTAAACCGGATGAACGATCTTAGAATATTCTTGCCGTGTTCTTAAAATTAGAAATTACATGCAGTGACCCATTTAAAGTTCACCTAAAATCAAAACGGCCCCTTTTTTCCTTGTCAGTGTGTTCCTAATCATATGAAGTACCATTAGTCATGCGCAGGTTAAGCCCAATCTTGGACTAGATTACCGTGCCAGTGCTGAATCAATATTTGAAGTTCTTTGTAGTCTAGAATCCAGCCGTATGATCATTTAAAATACTAAATTCTCCTTAATTTTCCATCAAAATCTAATGACTTTAAAACGTCTGATATTTGACGAGCGGGCTGGGAAAAATAATATATATAATAATAATATAGTGTTTCACCTCAAAACCTCCCATCTGTCATTGTGAAAACATATTCAGCAACTTCTTTGTCCAGTGCAGTGGAAATTAGCTTTGTCCATTTGAAAATAAAACTACACAAAGTCGGCTCTAAAGCTGCGTTCACATGTTGGCAGTAGATGGTCGATGGAAAACCTGGATAATTAAAATAATTGTTTTCAACAGAGCTGCAACAGAAAATTCTGCGAAAGGTCTGCTGACCGCAGGGCTCAGTTTCCCAACTTTTGCAGATGACAAATACAGACAATAAGTGATACAAAAACAATTTACAATTTAAAAACTATACAATAAACTATACACCCATTGAGTACAGGACGAAATTGGTATTTGAAATTCTTTGCAGTCTATGATCCAGCCATATATTCATTTAAAGGACTACATTTTTGTTCTCGTGTAATTTTCCATTAAAATGTAATGACTTTTGCCTCCAGAACTTCTGATATTTGATGAGCGGGCTGGGAAAAATAATATATCTATACAATAACAATAATATCGTCTTTCACACCAAAACCCCCCCATTTATCATTGTGAAAACATGTTCAGCAACTTTATTGTCCAGTACAGTGAAGATTTACCTTTAACTTTTCCATTTAAAAATAAAACTTGCTCCCGAGTGGCGCAACCGTCTAAGCATTGGCCCTATCAGCAGGAGATCGCGAGTTCGATCCCTGGTGATGCTACAGCCGTCCGTAGCCGGGAGTCCGAGAGAGCACAATTGGCCTCGCTCTCTCTGGGTGGGTAGGATGGCCCCTCCTTCTCCCCCCATCACTCAGCGCGATGCTAGTCAGCGCAGGCGTCTGTTAGCTGACATAACAGATCTGGTGGTTGGCACATTCCTCCGAGCGCGTTCGGCTGTCCAGTGACGTTGTGTGAGCGGCAGTTCGAAAAGAAGCGGTGGCGCTTCACAGGTCTCGGAGGAAGCCTGTGTTAGCCTTCACCCTCCTAGCGTTGATAGCATCGTGTGATTTGGGGAGTGTGATTCCTAACTAGCGGGTGGAATTGGAGACGACTAAATTGGGGAGAAAATCGGGTAAAAATTAAAAAAAAATAAATAAATAAAAATAAAACTTGACAGGCGGCTCTAAAGCTGCGTTCACATGCTGGCTGTAGATGGTCGATGGCAAACTGGATATTCCATTGTTTTCAATGGAGCTGCAAAATTGTGCCAGTGGTTTGCTGACCGCAGAGCTCAGTTTCCCAATTTTTACAGACAATAAGCAAAACTAAAACAATTTGCACTTTAAAAACCATACAATAAACTAAATGACCGTTAAGTACAGGGCAATAGAGACTAAACAGTAAACAGCAGATAATAGGAGGACTCTTAGTCCGCTTTTAGTCCTCAGCTGCAATGATTATTTCTATATACAGCCATATGCAAACGTTTTTGGTGCCCCTACGTGAAAATAAGTGAACACATCCTCCACAGAGAACACATTTCTGCACATTTTAATGCACAAATGCTATTTCTTTGCCGAATTAAACATATTGGAGGGGGGGTATTTGTGGAGGAATAAACTAAATATGGCCTGTTTAAAAGTTATTTTTTTCTATATATATTAAACACAAATAAATAGAAAATGGCTCTGAAATTTTTAGAAAAATGCCATATTTATGTTTGCTCCCTCTAGAGGAAGTGTTGACTTATTTTAAGACATTTGTACTGTATTACATTTGGTGCACACTGATACTAGTAATAATAATACTGCTTGTCGTAATCCTTTGCCGCAGGCGAACAGCTTCACGATATGGATGTAAAATACATGATTTCCGCTTCATGACTTTATGATTTTACTTTTACCAAAATATATTTTTTGCCTTGTAAAATGTCCAAGAACTGATGGAGCCTGTAAATACACGAAAGTGTAACATTACCGCGATCACGCCAACCGCTCCTAGATCAGAAATCCAGCTCCAGAGTTTGTTTTTCCACTGACTCAGCTGTACGTTCTTCTCAGGAAGCTCACAGATGGTTCTGCGTAATCAAAGTGAACTTGTTTCTTGTTCCCCACCTTGACTTCCGTCGTTCTTCTGTTCGACGTTTTGACTCTTGTCTTTTCTTTGTGTTCTTCTTTTTCTCTCCTCTCCACCTGCAGATGGGAGATGAATCTGAAACGGTAATTAACTGTGGAGAATAGGCAACAAACACCAGCACATCTACTCCACACCATTTCACTAAGCTAACAGACGATGTGCTCAGCTTTAGCTTCACTGTAGTGTGTTTAAGATGGTGTCACAGGCCGGTGTTTGGCTTTATTACGGACTTAATTCATGCTGAAACAAAGCTGCTCCTGGTGAAATCATAATTAACGCAAGTATTCTGTAAAGATGCTGTCTATCTGAGATACACGTGCCTTTTATTGGAAAACAGGGATACATACAGAGCTCCACTGGTGACATCCTGTATAAATAACAATAATGTGTGGCCACGACTTAGTAAGGCGTGGGAACAAGATAATTAAGCCGTTGCCATAATTTAGTAAGGCATGGGAATGAGAATGAGATCCTAATGCATGGCCACAACTTAGTAAGGCACGGGAAAGAGACCCTAATGCGTGGCCACAACTTAGTAAGGCGTGGGAACGAGACCCTAATGCATGGCCACAACTTAGTAAGGTCTCGGAATGAGATCCTAATGCCTGGCCACGACTTAGTAAGGCATGGAGATGTGATCCTATTGCATGGCCACAACCTAGTAAGGTGTGGGAACAAGATCCTAATTCTTGACCACAACTTAGTAAGGCGGGGGAACAAGAAGTCATGGCCACAACCTAATAAGGCATGGGAACGAGATTCTAATGCATGGCCACAGCTTAATAAGGCGTGGGAACGAGATCGTAATGCCTGGCCACGACTTAGTAAGGCGTGGGAACAAGATAATTAAGCCGTTGCCATAATTTAGTAAGGCATGGGAATGAGAATGAGATCCTAATGCATGGCCACAGCTTAGTAAGGCACGGGAAAGAGACCCTAATGCGTGGCCACAACTTAGTAAGGCGTGGGAACGAGACCCTAATGCATGGCCACAACTTAGTAAGGTCTGGGAATGAGATCCTAATGCCTGGCCACGACTTAGTAAGGCATGGAGATGTGATCCTATTGCATGGCCACAACCTAGTAAGGTGTGGGAACAAGATCCTAATTCTTGACCACAACTTAGTAAGGCGGGGGAACAAGAAGTCATGGCCACAACCTAATAAGGCATGGGAACGAGATTCTAATGCGTGGCCACAGCTTAATAAGGCGTGGGAACGAGATCGTAATGCCTGGCCACGACTTAGTAAGGCGTGGTAACAAGATAATTAAGCCGTTGCCATAATTTAGTAAGGCATGGGAATGAGAATGAGATCCTAATGCATGGCCACAACTTAGTAAGGCACGGGAAAGAGACCCTAATGCGTGGCCACAACTTAGTAAGGCGTGGGAACGAGACCCTAATGCATGGCCACAACTTAGTAAGGTCTGGGAATGAGATCCTAATGCCTGGCCACGACTTAGTAAGGCATGGAGATGTGATCCTATTGCATGGCCACAACCTAGTAAGGTGTGGGAACAAGATCCTAATTCTTGACCACAACTTAGTAAGGCGGGGGAACAAGAAGTCATGGCCACAACCTAATAAGGCATGGGAACGAGATTCTAATGCGTGGCCACAGCTTAATAAGGCGTGGGAACGAGATCGTAATGCCTGGCCACAACTTAGTAAGGTGTGGGAACGAGATCCTAATGCGTGGCCACAACTTAGTAAGGTGTGGGAACGAGATCCTAATGCGTGGCCACAACTTAGTAAGGCATGGGAATTAGATCCTAATACTTGGCAACAACTTGGTAAGCCGGAGGAACAAGATCCTAATGCATGGCCACAACTTAGTAAGGCATGGGAACAACATAATAAAGTCGTGGCCACGACTTAGTAAGGCATGGAGATGTGATCCTAATGCATGGCCACAACCTAGTAAGGTGTGGGAACAAGATCCTAATGCGTGGCCACAGCTTAGCAAGGCATTAGGTCACACTAGGTCATTGCCACGCATTAGGATCTTGTTTCCACTCGTTAATAAGGCGTGGCCACATTATTTTTATTTATATGGTATGTCACCAGCAGGGCTCCGTACATAATTACTGCTTCTTTTAGCCTCCTAACATCAGAGATTCCACCTTAAAAAAGAAAAGAAAGCCGAATGTTAATTTTGGCTGAAATAATGTTTATTTGGTTGCGTTTTTTGGGGGTTAACAGATTGTCTGTTCATTAACTCTCACGAATACTGGAATTAATTTCAGATTTATCGGAATATACATCCCTAGTTTTAACAGTAGATTGAGTTTCAAAAACTTATGGCCGACTTAACAATTAAAAACCGTTCTTTATTAGAAACAGATGAGCCTTTTAAAAAGCCTTTTAAAAAGCGTAGATACATATAAAACCACTGTGTGGTTAAAAAAGACTCTACTCACTATAAGAGAGAGAATTTAATATATGCGTCACCATGCAGACTCATTGACGATCCATAGAGATGATAAATTCTAATCTTTTTTAAAATTATTGAATTGCTGCGTGTAATTGATAAAACACGACAGAGGGATTTGTATGACTGTTTACATCTGAAGCAGAACACTGGATATTCGTCACATATGTGCATTAAAAACAGCTTAAAGCAGTTTATGCGACAACTGGTGTTGCAAGAACATTCAGCTTGTCGTTCCGTCACGTCACCTCCACACGATTAACAGCTAAAGCTTTTCCAATGTTGTCTTCTTCCTCATTCCACTCATTCCATCTCTCTTCTTCTTCATTGCTTTTGTCACCGCCCCTTCAGTCGGGCTCCCACTACAGGACGGAGGCGCAGTCTCCTCAGCTGCCCGAGTGCAGCGAGAGAGAGGTCTGTGCAGGCTTCTCAGTGGACTTAGTTCAGTTAGAAGCAGATTCCCAACCTAGTCCTGCTCTTAACTGGAGAAACTGATCTCAGATCAGTGTAAATGGGGACGTTTACTGATACTTTACCAGAGAATCCTCTGTTTCCTGGGGATTAAATCACAAAGCAGGATTATCAGGCGATGTTCACGTTTCCAGGCTGAAGTGGCACAAATCTGATTTTTTTGCCCTAATGTGACTCAGATCTGATGTTTTCAGAGCTGTGTGGACACAAATCTGATCTTTTCAAATCTGACGAGTCACTTTCATATGTGGTCCTAGATTGGACTTCCGTCACTTGCCTACATGAGTGCGAACCATCATGTCAGAGAAATCAGATTTGAGCAATGCGGCTTGTAATGTGAACGTAGCCTCAGTCAGCTGGGTAACTTAAAGGGCTCATATCCTGCGTTTTTCTTGGATTTATTGATTGTTTTTTCTTGAGTTTTACTTGTGTGTTTATGTGCCAAAAATTAGTCCTAATTCATGTTTAGGTGACCATTTTCCAACCTCTCTTTACCGCTAGACTGGTATATGCAAATGAGCTCAGTTCTGATTAGCTGCCATGTATTGTGCCTCAGTCAAGGCTGAAACACTCTTTTTAACTTCAGCGTGAATGGGCAGGGCTAAACTGCTGTAGGCTGATTGGGTGGATATATGTAAATGAGTTTTGTTTTTGTGACATCACAGAAACAGTGAAATCAAAACGGGCTATTTTTGCTTAGCTTATGGAGGAGAATGGTGGTAGTGTTTTTATACTTCAGTAATGCTTCTATAATACATTAAACTATTATTTTAAAAAGAGAAATAAGAAATAAGGAACGTTTTTTTTCCATGATATCAGCCCTTTAAGCCCAAAGTGGGGCTTTTCAAATGGGAACACAACTAGGCTCCTCTCCTATACTCTCCTATATTAAAAAGATGGTTCTTCAAGGGTTCTTTAGTAAAAAAAAAATGGTTCTGTATAGAGCCATGAACACTCAAAGAACCCCTTGCATGATTAAAGATCTTTTTGCATCATGAAATCTTTAGATTGATGGAGAATGTGCATAAATGTGCTCTGTAGTGTTCTATATAGCACCCAAAAGGGTTCTTCTGTTGTTACAAGCTTGACATCGTAACAAAAGAAGAACCTTTTTTGGGTGCTGTATCGAACCATTTTCAAAAAGGTTCTATATAGAACCATCAACAGCACATTCTCCATCAATCTGAAGAGCCCTTCCATGATTCAAGTGTTCATGGTTCTATATAGAACCATTTTCTTTACTAAAGAACTCTAGTAGAACCATTTTTTGAGAGTGTACTGGACAGGCTTCGGCACGGGCTTATCTGGATAACTCAGCAGAAATCCTGCTTTGTGGAGTAATATTTAGTGACGGTCAGGTTCTCTGTTAGAACGTTTGCTTTGATGTTTAGTTTTTTAGTATTTTTGTTTTCTGTGGTTTGTTTTCGTTGTTTTAGATGAACCCAGCCAGCCGTACTGACAGCATATCTTCAGTTTTCCTAACGCTGCATAATCCACTCTCACCCCATCAGTAAAAACCCTAAGTGCTTTTACAGACGACCATATTTCACGCCTCCCTGCACTGTCTCACTCACGCTGTCGTCCATCCCTCCCCAGCTCCCTCCCCAAGCAGCAGACTGACCACTGACTCTCCATCAGCTCCTCTAACACTTCTTTCTCTGTTTCTCCCTGCAGCTTGGTGGAGACATCGGAGGGAGCCCTGCGGTGAGTGAGCCTAATGTACACAGTTCTCCCTCTTATCCCACTGTAGTAGATCAGCGAAGACAGGTTTGGTGTCCAAAGTTGGCTTCTTTAGTTTTCACTGGACAAAAGTGAACCAAAAAATGGACACACTCCTCGAGTGTTCTATCGCTTTTATACAACAGTTAAATAAATAAAGTAATAAATTAATAAACTGGGCCGTGAACGCGGCGTTTAATGTTTTAATGTTCGCAGTTCCTTCACCAAATTATAGTTCCTTAACGAGCAGCTCGTTGCTACGTCAGAGTAACGAGCTCTGCCCACTCGCTGCTCAGCCGGCAGTTTGTTCTCCAGCTCCTCACACTAAATTCCCAAACTGTCATCACCACTGAGCAGCTTTTCAGTCGGCAGCTGTGACAGAAGAACAGTTGAACAACCTGGAATCAGCCAGAAATGAACCCAACACCATTCGCCAAACTAAGTGGGCTGTAAGATGCTTTACAGACTGGCTGGAACAAAACAACATTAATACTGATCTGGCAAAAACTGACAAAACTGAGCTGAACTTGATATTGCGGCAGTTTTATGGCTCAGTCTGATTTGGTCAGACTCTGAAGATCAGACTACACGTTTGGCAAATGGTGTTGGGTTAATTTCAGGCTGATTCCAGGTTGTTTAGCTGTTCTTCTGTCACAGCTGCCGACTGAAAAGCTGCTCAGTGGTGATGACAGTTTGGGAATTTAGTGTCGTCTCATCTTCAGAGTCTGACCAAATCGGCTGTCGGTCAAATGTGATCTTAAAAGTGTCCATTTTCTGTTTGTGGCAAAGTAAGAAGTAAAAACGTTCAAATGACTTGAGCGTCTCCTACAGCTGTCAAACTTGTTGCTTAGCAACGGTGTCTCAGTGGAGTGATGGTGTTTGTGAAAAACATGATGTTATGGCAAAATAACAGTGCGATTAGAACGCTTCTCAACCAATCAGCTTGCGTGGCCGGAACTAACTGTTGTATAATGTAGAATATAATTAAAATGACAGCGATTTGAGAATTGAAGTCTTTCATCTGGTGATTTCAATGAAAACATACATTTATTGTTCAGCCCTACTTGAAACTTAATTTGGACATAAAATGACGTAAATAGATAATACAGTGAATTATTTGCAATGCTTCATAAGCTTCTTGTTGATTCCAAGTTAATTTAAAAAATGAAACAAATACAAAAAAAACATTGTGTTGATATTTAAATCTGCGCTGCGTAAGATGTTTTCTGTATAGAAAAGCCTCATAATTAATATAAAAACTGGTTCCAAACTTAGAATTTAGTCCATGTCTATAGTATATAGTATAACAGTGTGTCATACAGTGCCAGAAGCCACTTAAGCAGGTCTGTTAGAGATTACTGAACAACTCCACACGGTTTAAGGTAGGGCTGAAAGATTAATCGGTTTTATATCGGAATCAACTATGCAACTAAGCAACAATGGTGGCTTAAGTTTAAAGTGGGGAAATTTAACCTTATTACTGAGAGCTTGTGAACTGCCTTTAGATGAGTTCAACCAATCAGAAGTAACCAAACACCCATGTGCTGTGACATCACAACCACAACTAACTGGCAGTCGGATGCAATACGAAAAAATAAAACCAGACCTGGACATCGAGTTACGGGAAATGATCGCAATGTAAATCGCAGCGGCTATGTTGGTCAGAAAAATCGCAATTAGATATCTTCCCCAGATCGTTCAGCCCTAGTTTAAGGTAAGGTAACTTTTTCATTTTTAGCTGAACTAGAAGTTAATAAATCCATTTCTGATTTATGTTAGAGAAATTGAGGTTTAATTTCCATTTTAACCCGGCATTGAGGAGGAATTCAGATGTAATTAATCACTTGAAAGCGGCTGATATTGTTTTTTTTCTGTATCTAAATTGGGGAAAATCTATAACGCTAATGAGACGGGTTTAGCTTTACATGGTGAGGGAGGATAATTTAATTTTTACCAGCATTTCTCCAGTCAATCTGAGTACACCATGTAGGGCTGAATGATTTGGGGAAAATATCAAATTGTGATTTTTTTTGACTAATATTGTGGCTTAACTTTTTAACTTATTTACTTATTTTCTTCTACAGGCAGTTCACAAGCTCTGTGTTATTAGATTAATATAGATAATATCGCTGCTGTCGGAAGAAAACCTTGTATCTCCATTTTTGTCATTTTTCAGTTTTTGACATAATCTGAAAGTGCCTGTTGACTTTTTTATATTGTGTGTAAATTTCAAGATTAATAAACCAAAAGAAACGGCCCAGAATTACTTGGTAAAAATTCTGGTTCCATTGACTTGCGTTAAAAGTCAAGTATGATTTTTCCTTCTCCTGTAAAGTTATAATTTTGGAGATATGAGGTTTTCTTCCGACAACAGCGATATAGATAATTTCCCCCACTTAAATCTAAAGACAGTGTTTTTGATAATATAGGCTATAACTTAAAAAAAACTGCAGCTCTTTACAATTTAAAAATTGCATTCTGTTAAATTGCGATTTCGATATAAAAACGATTAATCTTTCAGCCCTAGCACCATGCTAGTCATTTTTACAGACTGCGCTCCTATGTCAGTAAATACTCCACCATCTATTCGCCTACTGTAAAATTGTATACAATGTTCTGTGGAAAGGAAGGTTTTAAGTGTGTGGGCATTCAAAGAAGCGTTTGCTTGTGTTCGCTGTGGCTAAAATGAAGCTGAAAAGCACTGTCATCCTCAATTATACAACTGAGAACATTAAAACGTTAAAAAGATTATATAAAGTTTGGTGTTATGGGGTGATGTAGGACAGTGACAGTGAATTTTAGGCTATAACAATGCTAATGACGTGCTGACTTCACTTAAGACAGCAAGACTGATGGTTAGAGTAAATAGAATAACAGCTAAATTAGATGTTTTCTACTCATTTGTAGCGTATAGTGAGTAGCCACCTCCATCTCTGTCATTTATTCCGAGATTAAATTGGGATCACCCCTCTTTCCTTTGGGAAAACCAAGTAGCAAGAAATAAAATGCTCCAATTTAAGGGATTGCTGTGTTTCTAAAATGTGATTACAGCAGCACCTGAGTGTAATCTGATTTGACTCTGTCCCCAGATGGGTGTGGGTCTAGGGGGCGCACCAGTGGGCATGCCTGCAGGTCTTGGCGCTGCCCCTGCTGTCGGAGGGGGCCTGGGTGACCTCTTTGACCTCGGCGGAGGCGTAGGCATGACAGCAGGATCCTACGTCCCTCCCAAAACGGTAAGTCTGCTCCGGTCCTCTGCTGTAGTCCTCCTTAGTGCTGATCTGGCGTAATTCAGTTAGAGCTCGAAGTCCTGGATTTACACCAAAGGCACCCAAATACCTACTTAAGCCCAGACTTTCAGTAGCTCACCCAAGTAAGGATGTACTGATCCAGTTTTACCTCTGTCAGGACTCGGAGCTGTATTTTTGTAGCTAGTGCAGTGCACTTTTAGGCTGTTTTCACACCTAGTTTATGTGCTGAAGTCCAAATCTGAGGTATTTCATTCACACTGCAATGACTGAAGTGCGTCAAGTTATACACGCAAGTGCTCGTTTATTGGTCAGAAATTTTGCAGAGATACAAGTGCTCTGTTACTGTCACATTATCCACCATTTGATGGAAAAAACTTTATAGATAGAAAATCACAATACGGCTCCCGGGTGGCGCAGCCGTGTAAATGTCAGCCCTATCATCAGGAGATCGTGAGTTCGATCCCTGGTGATGCTACAGACGTCCATAGCCAGGAATTCAAAGAGCACAGTTGTCCTCTCTCTCTCTCTCTCTCTCTCTCTCTCTCTCTCTCTCTCTCTCTCTCTCTCTCTCTCTCTGCTGAAAACAGCTTTTTCTAAGACTTTACAGAGGTAGGTTCGAAATTGGTCTAAAATTATTTAGTATGGAAGGATCAGTGCTACTCTTTAAGCAGAGGCTTCACCAAGGCAGTTTTAAAAGCATCTGGAAAAACACCTGTTAACAGAGAACAGTTTACAGTAGTTAAAACATCATTGTGAACACAATCAAAAACCATCTTAAGGAATGAAGTAGGAACAGGGTCGAGATCACGTGGACGAGCTTATTTTGTTTAGTTGATTGCTGGTCTGCTGCTGTTAGCAGCAGCTTGTGGTGCTGGAGCAATATGATCATCACAAAAAATGTTTTCGTAATATTTCGAGAAAAAAGTCGTAAAATTTCAAGAATAAAGTCGGAATATTTCGAGAAAAAAGTACTATTTCGAGAAAAAAGTCGTACTATTTCGAGAAAGTCGTACTATTTCAAGAAAGTCATACTATTTTGAGAACAAAATCATACTATTTTGAGGAAAAACAGCCATTTCTTATCCTAATAACAGGCTGGTGCTGATGTGCAGGAGAGACAGGGAGACTGAGTGTTTCTTTATGGGTGAATCGATATGAAAGTAGAACTCCACCAACTCAACACCCCTCATTTAACACAAGGAGGTGCTGCCTTCACTTTGGAAAGCCTTTAGCCACAATATTGCGATGTTTCCTCGTATTAATGCCACTTTAATGTCGTAATTCTACAACTTTTTTCTCGAAATATCGTACCGTTTGACTTTTTTTCCCGAAGAATTAGTCAAGTCAATGTTTATTTATATAGCGCTTTTTACAACAGGTGTTCTCACAAAGCAGCTTTACAGAAAAATCGGGGTCCGAGACCCAATGAGCGTCGCCAATGGAGACAGTGGCAAGGAAAAACTCCCTAAGAACAAGAGGAAGAAACCTTGAGAGGAACCAAGACTCAAAAGGGGAACCCATCCTCCTCTGGACCACACCGAATAGCAAACAGCATTAGAATAAAGTATTAAAATACAAAACGGGGGAAAACAGGCGGAGCAATGGTTAATTAGATTAGTCAGCAGCAGCAGGAGGGTCAGTTCATGAAGGTGAGGTTTGCACAGTGTTGTACAGCGTGAAGCTCAATGGTGGACAAACCGGTCCAGAAGGCTGGCGAGCAGTGGGCACCCGATAAAGGCTGAAACTTGATTTTGATTTTTACTTATTTACATTTTAACTATTGTTTTTTTTTTTGTTTGTTTTTTTAAATGACCACTGTGTTGTTATTTCGGGTCTTAATATGACTGAAACACTCCTTTTTCTCAGCTGAATGTTCTGTTCTCGGTAAACGTATGATAGCCGTGCGCTCGCAATTCACCCACGGTTTCTTTAGCCATGTTTTGGCGACAGGTGGCTGCCTTACCTGCTCTCACAACAGTAGCACTGCGGGTATCGTGGCCGTTGGGCTGTTCTCCAGAACTGAATGTTCTGCTTTCCCGCTTCATAATTCTATCAAATCTATGTGCAGGTATGGCTGCCGGCAATGAAAGCTAAAGGCTTGGAGATCTCCGGGACGTTTGCCAGGCGCAGCGGCGTCATCCACATGGACCTGTCCTTCACCAACAAGGCCATGAGCGTCATGACTGACTTCGCCATCCAGTTCAACAAGAACAGGTGAGCAGACTTTGTGAATCGCCTTTAACTCTCAGTTCGGGTTTTACCTTCAGTTTGCTGTAGAATTCAGAGTGATATTATATGTTGAACTACATTGTGAGTCACGCAATTAATTACTTGTGCTTTTGATTTACATTCCATTTATTTCACTCAAAAAGTGACGAAAATCATAATATATATATAAAATAAATTATCTCTTCTACTGACTTCAGTCAGCATCGAATCGCTGTAATATGATTCACATCAGCTCAGATTTTTGCTTCTTTGTTTTTCACCTTTTAATCTGTTTTTCCTTCCATCTTTTTCATTGCTTCATTTTTTTTTTCTTTCTCCCTTTCTTCTCTCTCTCATCCTCTTTGTCCCTCTCTCTCCCTCTACTTCTCTTTCTCTCTTCCTTTCTCTTTCTTCCTCTCTTTATCTCTCTGTTTCTGTTTCTCTCTCTTTTACTCTCCCTTTCTTCTCTCTCCCTCCCTCTCTTTCTCTCTACTCTGTCCTGCTCTCCCTCTCTTTCTCCCTCTCTCTCTCCCTTTCTTCTCTGTCTCTCTCCCTCTTTCTCTCTTTCCTCTCTTTCTCTCCCTTTCTTCCATTTTCTCTCTCTCTCTCTCTCTCTCTCTCTCTCTCTCTCTCTCTCTCTCTCTTACGCTTTCTTCTCTGTCTCTTCCTTTCTCTCTCTTCCTCACTTTGTCTCTTTGTTTCTCTCTCTCCCTTTTTTCTCTGTCTCTCCCTCTTTCTTCTGTCTCTCCCTATTTCTCACTCTTCTCTTTCCTCTCTCTCTCCCTCTCTCCCTTTCTCACTTTCTTGTCTCTTTCTCCCTCTTTCTTCCATTTTCTTCTTTCTCTCTCTCTCCCTCTCTCCCTCTCTCTCTCTCTCTCTCTCTCTCTCTCTCTCTCTCTCTCTCTCTCTCTCTCTCTCTCTCTCACTCTTCTCCCTTTCTTCACTTTCTTCCATTTCCTTCTCTCTCTCTCTCTCTCTCTCTCTCTCTCTCTCTCTCTCTCTCTCTCTCTCTCTCTCTCTCTCTTCTGGATGTTTCTCTCTTTCTCTGTATGTCTCCCTCTCTCTCTCTCTCTCTTTCTTTCTCTTTCTCTCTCTCTCTCTCTCCCTCTCCCTCTCTCTCTCTCTTTCTCTTTCTCTCTCTCTCTCTCTCCCTCTCCCTCTCCCTCTCTCTCTCTCTCTCTCTCTCTCTCTCTCTCTCTCTCTCTCTCTCTCTCTCTCTCTCTCTCTCTCTCTCTCTGTAGTTTCGGGCTGGCTCCTGCTGGTCCTCTGCAGGTTCTGACCCCCCTCAGTCCTAATCAGACGGTGGATGTCAGTCTGCCGCTCAGCAACACCGGCCCGGTGATGAAGATGGAGCCTCTCAATAACCTGCAGGTAACGCAGTGTTTAATATTAAACTGCTCTCTAATATTTAACCTGGCGACATCGTCTCTGTGCGGTGTGTACCTAACGGACACGTGGGCGATCTCTCTCAGCCGTTATTTATTCAAACCTGTGTTTGAGGCCCCCCCCGCCTCCTGCTCTAAAAATAAGGCGCCCCCAGAGGCAGGAGGTGTGTGAAGTGCCAGATTACACAGCTGCTGGAGCGAGATAATCTCTCATAACCACACTAGTTTCCTCTGGATCACCACTACAGCCATACGGCCTCTCTCTGCTGCAGTGACTGCCTCGACTGGAACATTGAAATGAGGGTTTGACTGCAAGATGAGAGAGACGTACAGATAGAGAACAGGAGAGTGAGAGAGAGAGAGAGAGAGAGACGAACAGATAGAGAACGGGAGAGAGAGAGAGACGTACAGATAGAGAACGGGAGAGAGAGAGAGAGGGACATACAGATACAGAGAGAGAGAGAGAGAGACATACAAAAAGAGAGAGATATACAGATAGAACAAAAAAGAGAGGAAAGCAGATAGAGAAATAGAGAGACATACAGAAAGAGAGAGACTTACAGATGTGTGTATATATATATATATATATATATATATATATATATATATATATATATATATATATATATATATATATAGAGAGAGAGAGATGATAGAGAAACAGAGAGGGACATACAGAGAAAGAGAGAGAGAGATGGATAGAGAAACAGAGAGAGAGACATACAAAAAGAGAGATATACAGATAGAAAAAAGAGAGAGGAAAGCACAGATAGAGAAATAGAGAGACATACAGAAAGAGAGAGACTTACAGATAAATGTGTGTGTGTGTATATGTATATATGTATATATAGAGAGAGAGAGAGAGAGAGAGAGAGAGAGAAAGAGAGGAGAGAGATGGATAGAGAAACAGAGAGGGAGACATACAGATAGAGAAAGAGATATACAGAGAGAGAGAAAGACATACATACAGAAAGATAGAGATCGACGTACAGCGAGAGAAGAAGTGAAAGCTAGAAATAGAGACAAACAGAAGGAACAACATGAAGAGACATGCAGAACGACAGAGAGAGAGCAAGAAGCAGATAGAGACGTAAGCAAAGCGAGACGGAGTAAAGCTGTGTGTGTGCTCGTGTGTGTGCGTGTGGTGCTGTGTGAGTGTGTGTGAGTGTGTGTGTGAGTGTGTGTGTGTGTGAGTGTGTGTGTGAGTGTGTGTGTGAGTGTGTGTGTGAGTGTGTGTGTGTGTGTGTGTGTGTGTGGTGCTGTGTGTGTGTGTGTGTGGTGCTCTGTGTGTGTGTGTGTGTGTGTGTGTGCTGTGTGCGGTTCTGCCTGGCTGTCTGTATGAATTATTCAGTGAGTGAGACTCTTACCTCGAGTTGCTGTCCTTGCTCTGCGCCACGCGCTCCAATCGATGCTGCGCGCCACTCTCGACCTTTAGCGGCGCTTCATAACTCCGACGCTCGATGCGAACACTCCCGCCGGAGCGGCAGAGCAGCTCAGCCTGATCCCAGCACAGACTCTGAATACTCAGGAATAAGAACGCAGCCTCTGGAGAAGAGAATGAAGTTATGAGGTTAGAGGTTCAGTCAGTAAATCACTCAGCAGTGAAGGTGGGCAATACGGCAATATATAATCACGATGCTTCAGGAAGGCAGTTGATACAGTACGGCACAATCAGAGGTGGGAACAACTCACTAAGTTGCAAGTAACAAGTAAGTCTCAAGTCTTCACACTCGAGTCCCGAGTCAGTACAGGCGAGTCTCAAGTTGAGTCCCAAGTCAGTAGTCTTAATCTTCGAGTCCTGAACAAGTCAGTCTGCATTCTTCAGCTAATTTAAGGCCACAACACTGAATAATGGTGACAGCATGTTAGCAGTGTGGTTGTATATTAATTAATTAACTAATTTATTTGTTTATTTATTTATTTGTTTATTTATTTCCCTTCCAACTAAAATACACAATCAATGGTACACAGATAACCATGACAGGCATACTGCATACACAGAGTAGCACAACTATACATGGAAATACATTTAAAAGTACTACTGAACTTTTATTTTTATATATATATTTATATATAAAAAGTGTATATATATATAAATATAAAGTATGAACTTAATATATACACAAAGATGATTTAGTTTGAATTGAATTGAAACCAATAGTCAGAGCTGAACAAAGTTTACAGAAAAGACAGTAAAATAATGTGAAAGTACAAAGCTGAAATTGACTTTTTTCGCCAGCAGCTTATTTGAATTTTCCGTTCCACCTTAAATGCCACAGCAGTTGCATTCCGGCACCTCACTGCTGCACCATTTAAGGTGGAAGGACAAATTCCAGTACGAAGCTGGCGAATAACGAGAACGTTGCGCTTGTTTTACCTGCAGAAGCTGTTAAAATCGGTCGAACAGAGACGCTGTGTTTCTTTTGTTTTGCTATCATGAGGAAAACAGTCAGTTTACCTGGCGAGTTTCTCCAGTAAGACTGGAGTTTAAGTGCTGAGCGAGGAGCATTGATGCTGTCGCTGCTTCACTTGTTTCCAGCATATGGAGGCGAACTTGGCTCTAACGCTTCACTCGTCTTCTGAAATAAAATAAACCGAGCATAAGCTCAGTGACAGACGTCTGACGACGCTGCTGTTTATCAGATTTACGGCAGGAAATTAATCCATTCACATGAAAAGTAACTGACTGTGTAACTGAGTCCCGTCTGCGTTCAGATGCCTCTCCACATTTTTTCCACTTGCTGTCCCGAGTCTTTCCGAGTCTCTCTCGATTTTCTCGATTCGAGTCTTAAGTCATCCAAGTTTGTGACTCGAGTCAGGCTCGAGTCCAAGTCAAACGACTCGAGTCCACACCTCTGGTCACAATATTAATTTTTTCTGACATCTGAGAAGTTGGAACAGATGATGTAGGTTTTAGCTTCTGCCCAGTCTCATAGGGGAATTCCACCCATTTTTCTAAATTTCTGACTAATTAAATGGTTGAGAATCCAGAGTGGTTTGGTGTGGTTCTGGTTTCTTTACAGTGGTGGTGATAGGAACCAGGGGTCGCCATGACTACAACACAAATATAGACATTTTATCTACTATCCAAAACCACCAGTGAACCTACACGAGTCTTCTCAGTTTATATGGAATGATGATGATGGAAAATAGTTATGAATCTGAACAAAGCACACTTATTGGTTGATGTTCCTTCAAGGGTTCTTTAGTAAAGAAAATGGTTCTACATAGAACCATGAACACTCAAAGAACCCCTTGCAGGATTAAATGGTTCTGTGCATGGTAAATTGTTCTTCAGATTGATGGAAAATGTGTTGTAGGTGGTCCAAAAAAACTTTTTTTTTGGAAATAGTGCTATATAGCACCAGAAAGCATTCTTCTGTTGTTAGACGTTTGGCATCACAACAAAAGAAGGAGCCTTTTTGATGCTATGTAGAACCATTTTAATCATGCAAAAGGTTCTTTGAGTGTTCGTGGTTCCGTATAGAACCGTTTTCATCACTGAAGGAACATCTTTTTTTTGAGAGTGAAGTTTTCTTAGGGAACTATTTTTGCCTCACAGCACCCTGCATGTATCCCTCCACCTTGAATCGATTTTCAAAATACATTTTGCTGCAAAAGGTTGTCAAAACTATCATAAAACAATGTGTCAGACATCAGGCAGCATTTTCAGACCCATTTCAAGTAACTCTGTGAGGGGGGCTTTTAGAGGTGGACGTCTGGTTCCTATCACCACCACTGTGAACTCCCCCTTTAATCAGAACTTTTTTATTATTGTTGTTGTTCTGTTTTTTTGAGTCCCACTGAAATCTGTGATGCCTCCATTAAGCTCTTGTAAAGTTCCTTCATCCAACTGAATCTGCAAGAACAGGAAAGAACTGGGGAGGAGAGAGGGAGAGTAGGAGAGGAGAGTAAGAGAGACAGAAAAAAAGATGTGAAGAGAGAAGATGAGAAAAGAAGGAAGACATTTAGTAAGGAAAAAGCAGGAAAAGGGGTGAGAAGAGACTAAAAGAGAGATGTAAAAGGCAGAGAGGGAGAGATGAAAGAGTAGGGGAGGAAGATGGTGAAAAAAGATGGAAAGGGGGAGAGAAAAAATGGGAAAATAGTAGGGCTAGTAAAGACGGTGGAAAAGAGATGGAAAGAGGAGAAAAAATGGGGGGTGGATAGAAAAAGAGATGGAGGGGAGTGCAAAGGACAGCGAGAGTGGGGGAAAGCGAGAGGAAAAAGGAGGAAACTAAAAGAGAGAAAATGAAGAAAAGGGAGGAGAAAAGAGAGACGCTTGTTTGTGTGTTAAAGTGTCAGGAGTCAGTCTGATCTCCCAGTCCTCTTCCTCTCCCAGTCCTCTTCCTCTCCCAGTCCTCTTCCTCTCCCAGTCCTCTTCCTCACTCTCTCTGATGTCAGTATGAATAAATGCACTGTTTCTCCATTTTCTGTCTGTAAGGTTTAATAATAATATTTCTGTAATCATTTTGAACACAAACTGCTTTACAGAGAGATTAAAACAAAACAATAAAATAATTTATAAATATATTTACAGTTTAACTCATAATACAGAAATATCAGGTCGTTTTTAATGTCATTAATGTCGTCCGTGTCGCTGCGGTCTGAACAAAACCTCGCGTATCTAAAATGGTAACTTTACGATAGAAGGAAAAAACATACGAGTCAATGGAACCATCATTTTGGGTCATTTCCGTTGGTCCGTTTATCGTGAAATTTACACACAATGTATAGGACAATGTTCAGTTTCAAATTATGTCAATAACTGATAAATCGACAAAAATGAAGATATGAGGTTTTGTTCCGACAGCAGCGATATTCCAGTCAAAACATGGTTCAGTCATGTCTACTCTTTAAACACTCTCTTCCCCCCCTTCTTCCCTCTCCCTCCTGCTTTTTCTCTCTATTCTCTCTCTATATTCTCTCGATCTCTCTCTCCTCTTTTCTTTTTCTCTCTCTCTCTTCTTTCTCTCTCCCTTTCCTCCTATTGTCTTTCCCTTCATTCCCCCTCCTCTCTCTCTCAGGTGGCTGTGAAGAACAACATTGACGTGTTCTACTTCAGCTGTCAGTACCCCATTAGTCTGCTCTTTGTGGAGGATGGGAAGATGGGTGAGTGGGTTTAATCAGTTCCTCTCTTCTTCTCTGACGCTACAAACCCCAAACCCACGTCAGCAGGAGTTCTTCACCTCGTGATCACGTCAGCTACCTGACGCTCTTTATTTTTATGGATTGCCTGTTCGTTACATGTCACTGAGAATTTTCTTGTGTTTCTGGCTACAGACGTATCCTGCTAGTATTTGTATTTGGACGTCTTGTTCTTCTACCTGGACTGGTCATTAGGATTTTTTTAATGCTTAGTTTTACAGTCATGACAAACAAAACAACCTGCAAGCATAATTCCATCTCTTCACCAGCTAGAAGTCAGCACATTCAGAGAAAAAGTCTCTGTAGTACTGTAGTGTAACTATAGCTGACTATAGCAGCCTTTAAAGGCCTTAAAATTCAGATAAGTGATAATAGCAAAATTCTTTGCGGTTTTAGTTTCCTTTAATTGCCTATTATTTAACTTATTTTCCATTTCTTCTCTTCATTAAAAGAGATTCACTCTCAGTAGCCACGTTTACATGCAGCCTGATAATTTGTTAATAATCCGACTAATAGCTCAATCAGAATAGATTATTCCCACGTTAACACCTCAGTTGGAATAGACTAGTCCGATTGAGGCCATTCGGAATACAATTTCTGTCTGATTGATCGAGGTGGGTAATCCTGTAAATAATCCGTTAAATAGAAGAATAATATCCGTGTAAACGCCTGTATCTGATTACATTCCCTATCGGAAAGTTTAAGTCCGTTCTGATCATGTTCGTCACGTCATAGTGAGAGTTTATACCGTCCAACATGGCGGAGCAGAAACTGGTCTGCAGAGGAGACGAAGTTTATGCTCTGATCTTTAAAAGACGGCGGTGGGACGGACGTCCAGCTTATGTGTCTCAGAACACGACGTCTTCCTCTCGGCCTTCTTTAATAAGGACATGTGAAGGACGTTTTTCCTGAGTCTGACATCATTTTAAAGCAATTAAAAACACAAGCGCTGCTCACTGCTGCTCATCTCACTCTGACTGGACTCACGTGATGCTGGTTGTCATGGTAACGTCCACACTAAGCGGTTCTCTAAGCATGCGCATAATTTTGGATCAGATTACTTGTAGTGAGCATGTAAATGTACGTTTACCATCAGATTGTTGAGTAGAGTGAGAATAAACACCTCAGTCTTAATCTGTAATCGGAATGTATTCAAACGGATTGGCAAAAATCTTTGCATGTAAACACAGCCAATGAATCGAATTTGATGATTTTGGAAATTTGAATGATAAATAGGGACCCGGCAGATCAATATAAAGTCATGTTCAGCAGTCAGAATTGCTGAACTTAGATTCTATTAGTTATTAGCGCACAAATCATGTGTGAGAATCATTGAAAGAGAGGAAACCCACACCAGCAGGATCTCACAAATGCACTTTTGGTTCTGTTTACAAATTGCATGCATATAAAGTCAAATTAAGCATTTGTTGTTATGAAAGTGCACGTATGTAATTACTCAGTCATCAGAGTAATTGCCTAATTATTCAATTATTATTATTATAATAGATGGATACATAACAAAAACATGCTGTTGTATATTATTTTAACCATGATGGTGTTTTTTCAGATTCATTAGTTCTGTATTACTGTGATATAGTGATACACGATCGGCCTATAATTGAGAGATTGCATGTTTGAATCCCAGCGATGGCGAAACCAAAACGAATGCGCTAGTTATCGCACATTATTAGCGACATTTTCTCAGATACTGATAAAACCTTGCCTCATCAGTATCAGCCAGACTGGTAAATAATACCAGTGAACCATTAAATCAGTAAAATACATTTAAAAAAACAATTTTCACACCTACTGTCTGTTTTCTCTATGTTTCTCTCTGTGAGCAGACAGACAGGTGTTCCTGGCCACCTGGAAGGACATTCCCAGCGAAAACGAGGCTCAGTTTCAGATCAAAGACTGCCACCTCAACTCAGGTAAGAAGACAGGAGGGTGGATGGAGGGGTGGAGCGGTTAATGAAGACAGTGAGAGGGTGAAAAGAGAGCTCTACTGTCAGCAGAGACACTGTTACAGTTTCCCAGACCCAGATTAAGACAAAGCATAGACTAAAAAGACCGATAATCCATAATCCTTCATCTACACTAAAATTTTGTCCATCTATCTGCTTGTCTGTCTGCCTGTCTATCTGTACCTGTCTGTCTGTCTTTCTGTCTGTCTGTCTATCTACCTACCTACCTACCTACCTACCTATCTGTCTATGTATCTGCCTGTCTTTCTGTCTGTCTGTCTATCTATGCCTGTCTGTCTGTCTATCTATCTATCTATCTATCTATGCCTGTCTGTCTATGCCTGTCTATCTATGCATGTCTGTCTGTCTATCTATCTATCTATCTATCTATCTATGCCTGTCTGTCTATGCCTGTCTATCTATGCCTGTCTGTCTGTCTATCTGTCTATCTATCTATCTGTCTATCTATCTATCTGTCTATCTATCTACTTACCTACCTACCTATCTATCTATGTATCTGTCTGTCTCTGTCTGTCTGTCTATCTATCTATCTATCTATCTATCTATCTATCTATGCCTGTCTGTCTGTCTGTCTGTCTATCTATCTATCTATGTATCTATGCCTATCTATCTATATATGCCTGTCTATCTATGCCTGTCTGTCTATGCCTGTCTGTCTATGCCTGTCTGTCTATCTATCTATCTGTCTATGCCTGTCTGTCTGTCTATCTATCTATCTGTCTATCTATCTATCTATGCCTGTCTGTCTATCTATCTATCTATCTATCTATGCCTGTCTATCTATCTATGCCTGTCTATCAAAAAGTATTTCCTATTTGTATTTTCATGGTACTGTTGGCCCACGGGGGTCTCTGGAGGCTGCCTACCTTTGCCCCAGCCCCAGGTTTTGTCCATTTTTTTTTCTCTCTCTCTCTCTCTCTCTCTCTCTCTCTCTCCTCCCTCCCTCTCTCCTGTTGGGGTCTGTTATTAAATGCTGGATGGTGATGTGTGAGCATGTCCGTGTAATTAGGTTTAAGTGATATGAAGCTGTTCTGCGTGGCCGTGTATTATTATTCAGTAATTCTGACCTGGTCCAGCACGAATACGCTAATAAACACTCAAAACACTCACACCACTATCTAAATGAATCCGCTGTCCTTTTCCTGCCCTTCGTCTCGCGCTCTCTCTCACTCTCCGATCAGACTTCGTACCCTCAGTTAAAACAGACAAGAAGGCGCTCTTGTGAGGTCATAGTCACTTAATTAAAGGAAGAAAGCCATTACACAGAACTTTGTACTCACAAACAGAAGCTCTAATTAAAAGAGTTTAAGCTGTAATCGCTGAATGATGTTTAATGATTTTCACTCATGCTGAGGACGAGTGAGCAGGAGGCTGTAGTTGAAGCTGCGCTCTGACTCCCATTACAGGCTCGACCTCTGTTCGCGTGCCTTGTTTAAATGTGTGTTTGTCTAACCCTGAATTTGCACAAGCAAGCGACGCAACATTCATTTTCAATGCGAGTTGGTGATTCCTGGCGACAGGAGGCAGCGTGAATGTTGGGGATGTGAAGTGGGCAAAGTCGGCGACACAACAAAGTTGAGCGACGTTTAACTTTGCCTTTTTCTTGCCCCCATGAGCGTCGCCAATGGCAACAGTGGCAAAAAAACCTCCCTAAGAGCAAGAGAGAAACCTTGAGAGGAACCAAGACTCAAAAGGGGAACCCATCCTGTAGCATTTGCACTCGTTCTGCTTCATTTGCAGCAGGGATATGTAGATTGCTTTTATACAACAGTCAGTTCCGGCCACGCAAGCTGATTGGTTGAGAAGCGTTCTAACTGTGCTGTTATTTCACCATAACATCAAGTTTTTATCACAAACACTCTATCACTCTGCTGAGCAACGACTTTGACAGCTGTAGGAGACGCTCAAGTCATTTGAACGTTTTTACTTCTCACTTTGCCACAAACAGAAAATGGACACTTTTAAGATCACATTTGACCGACAGCCGATTTGGTCAGACTCTGAAGATGAGACGACACTAAATTCCCAAACTGTCATCACCACTGAGCAGCTTTTCAGTCGGCAGCTGTGACAGAAGAACAGCTAAACAACCTGGAATCAGCCAGAAATGAACCCAACACCATTCGCCAAACTAAATGGGCTGTAAGATGCTTTACAGACTGGCTGGAACAAAACAACATTAATACTGATCTGGCAAAAAATGACAAAACTGAGCTAAACTTGATATTGCGGCAGTTTTATGGCTCAGTCTGATTTGGTCAGACTCTGAAGATCAGACCACACGTTTGGCGAATGGTATTGGGTTCATTTCAGGCTGATTCCAGGTTGTTCAGCTGTTCTTCTGTCACAGCTGCCGACTGAAAAGCTGCTCAGTGGTGATGACAGTTTGGGAATTTAGTGTGAGGAGCTGGAGAACAGCCTGCTGGCTGTGCAGTGAGTGGGCGGAGCTCGTTACTCTGACGTAGCAACGAGCTGTTCGTTAAGGAACTATAATTTGGCGGAAGGAATTTCACGCAACGTTCATTTTCAATGAGAGTTGCTGATTCTTGGCGACAGGAGGCATCACAAATGTTGGGGATGCGAAGTGGGCGCATGCACGTCATTTATAACCTCCCGTATGATAAAAGAGCAAAACTGCGAACATTAAACCATATTAAACGCCGCGTTCACGGCCCAGTTTATTAATTTATTACTTTATTTATTTAACTGTTGTATAAAAGCAATAGAACACTCGAGGAGTGTGTTATCGCCAATAACATCACGGCTGTGATGATCTACCGCGACCAAATCACAGCCGTGATGTTATTTTGCGATTACACACTCCCTCTCGTGTTCTAATACTTAAGTAACTAATAATGTTGCTCAAATATTTCAAAATACGTTTAGCAGAAACCAAGATGCACTGGGCTGTGCTGCTCTGGTCTAATATCTCAGGCTTTTGTTTTTGTGAACGTACCCCACTGTGTGTGTTAATGTGTGCCTTTCTCTCCTCCACAGACGCTGCCAGTAACAAACTGCAGGGCAGTAATATCTTCACAGTCGCCAAGCGCACAGTGGACACCCAGGACATGCTGTACCAATCCGTCAAACTGACCAACGGCATCTGGGTGCTGGCAGAGCTGCGCATTCAGACAGGCAACCCCAACTCCACGGTGAGCAGGGAGAGGGAGAAAAGGGTTGTCTTGAATAACAGCAGGACCCAAATGGTATCGACATTTGTGGCCAGTAAAGATTTTAGGGGGCTAATAATTCCCATAATCAATCATATTGGTAAAAATATTGTTTCATATTTATATTATATATTTCAGTTTTGCACTCCAATAGCTTTAGTTAAAGGGCTCTTATCATGTAAAGCTGAATTTTCCTCATTTTTTTTAATTAATGGGTTTGATGTAGTATACAAACACATAACGCACTGTTCACTCCCCGGTCCCGGTCAGTGATGTCTTTTTGTGCAAAACAAGTCATTTACATATACCTACGCTGCAGCAGTTTGGCCCCGTCCCATTCACACTGAAGTTATAAGAAGTGTTTCAGCCAAGACTGCTTTTCGAATGAGGCTCAATACAGGGTAGCCAATCAGATCAGAGCTCATTAACATATATCAGTCTTAAAGGCACAGCCTGTTTCATTCTAAGAGGTGAAGAGAGGTTGGGAAAAGGATCTAAACATGAATTCTGACCATTACCAGTCCAATACCTGAGACTGTGAGGTCATAGTAGAGAAGTCCACCTCCTTGTTTCTACAGTCATTGTCCATTTCATCAGCTCCACTTTGTAGTTCTACAGTTACAGACTGTAGTCCATCTGTTTCTCTGCATACTTTGTTACCCTGTTCTTCAGTGGTCAGGACCCCCATGGACCCTCACAGAGCAGGTACTATTTGGGTGGTGGATCATTCTCAGCACTGGAGTAACACTGATGTGGTGGTGGTGTGTTAGTATGTGTTGTGCTGGTGCAAGTGGATCAGACACAGCAGTTCTGCTGGAGTTTGTAAACACCTCAGTGTCACTGCTGGACTGAGAACAGTCCACCAACCAAAAATATCCAGCCAACAGCGTCCTGTGGGCAGCGTCCTGTGACCACGGATGAAGGACTAGATGATGACCAACACAAACTGGGCAGCAGCAGATGAGCTATCGTCTCTGACTTTACATCTACAAGGTGGACTGACAAGGTAGGAGTGTCTACTAGAGTGGACAGTGAGTGGACACAGTGTTTAAAAACTCCAGCAGCACTGCTGTGTCTGATCCACTCAGACCAGCTCAACACACACTAACACACCACCACCACAGCAGTGTTACTGCAGTGCTGAGAATGACCCACCACCCAAATAGTACCTGCTCTGTGAGGGTCCATGGGGGTCCTGACCACTGAAGAACAGGGTAAAAGGGGGCTAACAAAGTATCAGAGAAACAGATGGACTACAGTCGGTAACTGTGGAACTACAACGTGAAACTATATAGTCAGTGGAGCTGATAAAGTGGACAGTGAGTGCAGAAACAAGGAGGTGGACTTAATAAAGCTGACCAGTGTAGAATTTGGAAGGTCTGGCCGATATCCAGTCCATTTAATAAGGTCATTGTCAGTGCAGATACTAATCCAGTATATTAAATCAGTGAATCACTAACAGTCTGACTGAGTGCTGGTGGCTCTTTGGCAGCGTTAGAATAATGAGGCAAGTTGGCACGTGGGAGGAAGAGAGGAGTGTGTGATGGAGGAGTGTGTGTGTGTGTGAGAGAGAGAGTAGAGAAAGCATGGCAGGATGCGAGTGAGATAATGAACAAAGCAAGAGAAGAAATGAGGCAGCATTGTTTCTATAGTGACCAGTTTATAAATATTCTCTGTGTTAAATGGTTTCTCTCACTCTTTCTCTTACAGTCTTAGGCAAAATTTAGGGCACCCTGGTTAAATTATGTTTCTGTTGATTTTCTAAGTGAAGTCATGCAGAAGTGCGTTCTCTGTAGAGGCTGTGTTAAGCCGGGGTTACACTACATGGCTTTTACCCCGATTTTAGCCCTGATTCTCAGTCTGGCCGAGTCTGAGCTGGTCGGCTCTAGTCTGCAGATTTTTGGGTCAGTCCGAGTCGACAGTTGGAGAGAGAGTCGAGTCGTGTCTGAGGGGTGCAGACTCAGATTTTTGGCTTCTCGGTCGCGTTTCAGACCAGTCAGAGTTTATCAAACGTCTGTTTTTTTCCGACCCGACTCGAAATCTAGTATAAATTGGTCAGCGACTCAATATGAGCGGATTCCTGCAACAGCCAATGAAAACAGAGTGCTGAAAGAAGAAAACACAGCAAGTAAACAAAGAAAAATGGTGAAAAGTCTCTCACGTGAGGAGCGAAGCTTTTTAATGAGCTGAGTTTAAGGCACAATCGAGTTTATGTACATTTAAAACTCTAAAAACTCCCACACTGATCACATTTTTAAATCCATGAGCCTCATTTAATCATGTTTACCTGCTGCTTCTTTACTGTTTCAGCGCAAACGGCACAGAAAACAGCAGCAGCTTCAAAGTTGAGTAGTGTGTGATCACTAATCGTTTAGTGTGGAACCTCAATATTTCAGTGCCTAAATCTGCCAAAACCAGTGTGGTGGTGTGAGACGCCCAGTCTGTTCTAATCTGTTCAGACTTTAAATGTCGTGTAGTGACCCGAGGCTTTAGCTTATTTTCAATCAACAATACAAGATGTAAAATTTAATCAGGGGTGCCCAGACTTTTGCATACGGCTGCAGAAAGTGTTTAATTAATTAATTAATTAGTTGCTGTAGCTGCTGTGATGATCCCTCACGTGTCCAGAGAGGTGACCTTGCCCCGAGAGTCCTCTCACCTTTTAATCACTGCAGTGCTTTAGGGGCTCTTTCGCTCTCTCTCTCTCTCTCTCTCTCTCGTTCTCGTTTTCGCTCTCTCTCTCTCGTTCTCGCTCTCGCTCTCTCTCTCTCTCTCTCTCTCGTTCTCGTTTTCGCTCTCTCTCTCTCGTTCTCGCTCTCGCTCTCTCTCTCTCTCTCACTCTTGCTTGCTATCTCTCTCGCTTGCTCTCTCTCTCTCTCTTGCTCTCTCGCGCTCTCTCTCTCTCTCTTTCCCTCCCCCCTGTTCTATTTCTCTCTTCTCACCCTCTTTGTCTCTCCCTCTGTCCCTCTCTCTCTGTCTGTCTTTGTTTCTTGTCTCCCCCTTTCTCCCTCTCCTACCTCGTTCTCTCTTTCTCTCTCCTCCGCTCTCTTCTCTTTCTTTCCCCTCTCTCTGTCTCCCCACCTCTGTCTTTATCCCCCGTTCTGTCTCTCTCTTGCTCTTTCACTCTCTCGCTCTTTCTCTCTCTCTTTCTTGTCTCTCTCTCTATCCCCCCATTTCCTGTGCTCTCTTTGTTCTCTCTCTCTTTTTTTTTCTCTCTCTCTCACTGTTTCTTGTCTCTCTTTTTTTCTCTCTCTCTCTCACTGTTTCTTGTCTCTCTCTTTCTCTCCGCTCTCTCTTTCTTCTCTCTCCCCGCCTCTCTCTGTCTTTATCCCTCTCTCTCTCTTCTCTTTTACTCTCTTTCATCTCTTTCTTTCTTCTCTCTCTCTCTCTCTCTCTCTCTCTCTCTCTCTCTCTCTCTCTCTCTCGTGGTTCTGCTTTAGTGAAGTTAATGTCAGAGCAGGATTGTGTTCAGAATCTCCTGCTGATGTAATTAAGATTTCTGTTGGGAAACAGTGTTTCTGTTTTCACTGCTGAAGCTTTTTTATTCCTTCCTTTCTCTGAAAAACACAAGGATAGTGTTTTGGTCACAGTTGTTGTTGTCCCTCTCTTTGTCACTGAAATCTGTCCCGATATATCAACGGCACATTTTCCTAGTTTGTCTAGGTTGTGGTACCAGATAATTAGCAAATTAGCATTAATAAAGTAATAATGAACACATGCATTCTAGGTGTCGACGCTTAAAAAATAACTTGGAAATCTTGTTTTGTTGGACTGTTTTGATCTGTTTTCTTCTACTGAAATTAGACCAAAGAGAACCTTACAGAGACTGTAAATGCTAACCAGACAGAAAGGACAGTTACTGTTTAATTAGTGGTAAAATCACTGTAGCACCTCAGCTGTAATGCTGATTTCTCCTCTATGTGATTTCCTGGGTTACGTTGGCGTACGTTCGCTTTCCCTCGTTAGGTTTAAAGCTGCTTAAGGCAGATCTACCAAAAACACAGACATTTAAAGGTTGTAAGACACATTTTTTACTCCATATGTTAATATTTTATATTAATATAGGAGCCTACTAGCCTGTTAGCTGTCTGTTGAGTTGATCAACCATGTTCTAGTTGTTAAGAAAATGGGTCGAAAACAATACATAAATTTTGTTTAATGAGTCAGGCAGTGAATTCATTAACATTCAATGTAATAACTTTCTGTGAAGGAGCTTTTAGAGGCGTAAACTCTTTAAGCTCCGCAGCTTATCGTCTAATTTTTGTACATGGATGTAATATTTACCAAATTCCAGCAAAATCTGATGCTTGTAGATGTAAAAGATCCACATTTACATGCACTTGCATATATATATACATATATGATTAGAAAACAATATTGACATTTGTCTATATATTATTCAGTTCTGTTTTTAATAAAAATTTTGCCATATATATATATATATATATATATATATATATATATATATATATATGTGTATATGTGTGTGTGTGTGTGTGTGTGTGTGTGTGTATATGTATATATGTGTGTGTGTGTGTGTATATATATATATATATATATATATATATATATATATATATATATATATATATATATATATATATATATATATATGCAAGTGCATGTAAATTCTTGTCTTGGACGTGGATCTTTTACATCTACAAGCATCAGATTTTGCTGGAATTTGGTAAATATTACATTCATGTACAAAAAGTAGCCGATAAGCTGCGGAGCTTAAAGAGTTTACGCCTCTAAAAGCTCCTTCACAGAAAGTTATTACATTAAATATATAAATTAGTTGATGAATATGGTTCTTATTAAAAGTGAAGACATTCCAGAATAATACCCCACCCATTAATATACAAAGATCATCCAAAAGCATCCAAAATACTTTTTTACTTTGTAGATACATAATTACACTATACCATGATATATACCGAAACTGTCAGGCATCTTAGTTATAGCATTAAATACATTTTGGCCTGTATTTTAGAGCTCAGCTAAACTGATCAGATTTATAAATGTATTTTTAATTTTTTTGTTTTTTTAATACGATCTAAAGCTCCCAGTAAATTACTTACATTACAGTAAAGTAAGTTTATCTGTCAGCACTGCTAAAACTGAAAATTGTTGTTGTGTGACTAATACCAGTATAGACAGTATCATCCACCACTACATGTTTGCATCTGTTTGTGGTCATGTGTTGGTGTCTCAGTGTGCCGTGTTTTGGGAGTTGCTTGTTTATTTTATTGTCTTTGTTTACCTGTTTAATGTTGTTTGTGTTTGTGTTTGTGTCTGTATGCTCTCGTCTCTGCCTTCACCCATGCGGATGACTCCGCAATACAGGACATGGAGGTTGGCGTTATTTTTCTTAGCTGTTTGAAATTCGATTCTTTCGTTCTCACACCGCCACACTTCTTGGCATGCTCTGTTATCTGATCCTCACCACTTACCTGTTACATCACAATCACTAGTGTAACTGTGTTCTGCCTTCTTTTTCAGTGAGCAACTCTGTTGGACAATAGGTATTTTAAATCTGCTGTTTGGGTAATTAAGGGTCAGTTTCCTGGACAGGGGTTAAGCCTGGTACTGCACTACATTTTTCTGTTAATGGAGAAAATATTCAAGAATTCAGAATGCTTTGTCAAAGAAGAATCTCCATTCAAAATGCTGCATCAGTGGAGAATCTCCGTTCGGAATGCTGCATCAGTGGAGAATCTCCATTCGGAATGCTGCATCAGTGGAGAATCTCCGTTCGGATTGCTGCATCAGTGGAGAATCTCCGTTCGGATTGCTGCATCAGTGGAGAATCTCCGTTCGGATTGCTGCATCAGTGGAGAATCTCCATTCGGAATGCTGCGTCGTGGAAAATCTCCATTCGGATTGCTGCGTCAGTGGAGAATCTCCGTTCGGAATGCTGCGTCAGTGGAGAATCTCTGTTCGGATTGCTGCATCAGTGGAGAATCTCCGTGTAGAATGGTACGTCAGTGGAGAATCTCCATTCTGAATGCTGCATCAGTGGAGAATCTCCGTTCGGAATGCTCCGTCAGTGGAGAATCTCCATTCGGATTGCTGCGTCAGTGGAGAATCTCCTTTCGGATTGCTGCGTCAGTGGAGAATATCCGTTCGGTATGCTGCGTCAGTGGAGAATCTCCGTTCGGAATGCTGCGTCAGTGGAGAATCTCCGTTCGGATTGCTGCGTCAGTGGAGAATATCCGTTCGGTATGCTGCGTCAGTGGAGAATCTCCGTTCGGAATGCTGCGTCAGTGGAGAATCTCCGTTCGGAATGCTGCGTCAGTGGAGAATCTCCTTTCGGATTGCTGCGTCAGTGGAGAATCTCGTTTCGGATTGCTGCGTCAGTGGAGAATATCCGTTCGGAATGCTGCGTCAGTGGAGAATCTCCGGTTAGAATGGTCGGCCAGTACTAGGCTTAATCCCTATCCGAGAGACTGCAGGGGGTGTCCGATTCTGATCTTGGAACTGACCCACCCGTTCTTCACTCACAGATGCGTTCTTTCATAGCTACTGTTACTTGGACAAGCTTTACGGAATGCTGACAAAAATCCCACTCAACTTAACCATTTGTAAAGGTGTGAAAGGTCACTCTTCTGTCAGTCAATTAACCAAGAGTTGCTACTGAAACATGGCAGTTAGTCTAGTGCATGCAGTGCTAACACAGACACAGCACAGTGAATGCTCTCACACACATTGCCTGCTCCATATCAGTAACACAACACACACTCCTTACGTATGGCTTCACGCATGACACTCTTCACAGGTTCATTGTCCCTAGTATAAACCAGGCCCAGTCCCATTTCTTCTTTTTACCCCTACCCCTTGTTTTGAGTGTCGCCCCTTGGAACTGAGTTACAGGGTAGTGGTTGAAATCCTCCCTCTGAAATGGGACCCTCAAATAAAAAGAGCATCACTTCATTAACAGCTACCAGCGCTGCTCTGTAGGCGACGCTGCCAGTCTGCAGTGACAGCAGAGGAGGGTAAAGTTCAGCTCCTCACTGCTGGGCTTTAGTAACATTTAGGGCATCATATGCCTTCAAAGAGGTGGGCAATTATTTATTATCACCCACCCCTAATTCTTCAGTGATAGCAGCTTCTTGTTCGAATTTTCCCGTTCCACCTTAAATGGAGCAGCAGTTACATTCTGGTGCTTCAGACGTCAGAACCGCTGGACTATTTAAGGTGGAACAGGAAATTTAGCTAGATAGATACTGCGACATCAGCTACTAATGTTCCTCCCTGTTGAAAAAAGTCATAGAACCCATTAAAAGTGTCTGTTGGTTCCTGGTGGTTTTCAGTCGCTAATGGTATTCCGTGTTTTCCTGATAGGTTGATATCACAGTGTAAAGGATTCTGATCGCTTAATCAGGTGTTCTGGGACTGATTGCAGATACATTTGATCGTTTCCTAATGGCCTCTAACAGCAACCATCAAGCCAATTCCCGTTAGGAAGCAAAACCATCAGGTTTTATTCCTAACGGCCCTGATAACGTACTGCTTTGGTGCCCACAGCGTCGTCTGTTTGGCGCTCTCTACGTTGTCACATTGCAATGTAATTCCTCAGAACGTTATGACAACGTTTGTCATGACAACAGCAAAAGTAATCGGCACTTTGTTGACTGTACGTCGTCACAACCTCCTAGAAACCTTAATAAGTTCTATGTTAATCAATATTACAGGTTTTGATAACCGTTTCTAATCGTCTTCAGCTTGGCTTTCATGAGTTTCAGCGGTAGCCTTTTGTTTTTCTGCGAATAAACCCGACACATTTTATCATCGTGGTAGGTTTTACTTGGAAAGTTTCCAGATTTAATTACCGTATTATCAGTAAGGCAACATTAATATACATCCAATGTAACTCTTGTTGCCCATCAGTTCGAGTTTCGCTGTTTTACCTCATAAAACCGACAAAAACACTGTGGTGGCAGAGCAGCACTGACGTCATCACCAGGCTGGCGGTGCGTGTCAGGCTGAGAGTGCATGTCTGCAGCCAGACCCTTCTCAGTTTTTCTTTTTGTCCCTCATAACTCTCTGTTTGGAGGGTCATGTAGCCCCAGCGCTTCGCCCTACCCCTCTATCTCAACCAGAATCGGGACACCTTACACTAGACGTGAACGGAGGGCTAAGGGCTAAGTGGTAGGGGCGAGGGGTGGAATGGGACTGGGCCCAAGACTGCAGGAAGTAGGCTGGGGGAGCTGCAGGTCTCCTTATATTAAAATCTCCTTAAATTAATTGTTTTAATGATTAAAAGCAGCAGATTTGAAACCCTCTGCTGGAACTCGGTTTCATTCCCGCGCCGCTGCTGGCTCTAATGGTCCGAGTCGGCCAATGCTGTTTACCCGCCTGCCTTTGAAATGCACTTACCATAACTTCTGACACGTCCCTATGGCAACCAGGCGACCAATGGAGCACCCCACTGCACACACCCCCCCCGCCCCCCCGCCCTTTACAGCGGCTGATTGCAGAGGCAGGTGGGAGGAGGAGGAGCGTCCCAACAGCTGCAGTGCAGTTAGACTCCACCAGCCTCTACAGCCTCTACACCTCCTCTATTATTTACTCACTCTGTCTTTTCTTTTATTCTCCATCTCCACTCCTTCTTGTCACCCAACTGAGCTTTTTCTTTCTTTCTTTCTTTCTTTCTTTTTCTTTCCACTCCTCTTCATTACCTGACTGAGCTTTCTTGGTCTTTTTTGGTCACATGCTCATCCATCCCACTCCTCTTTGTCACCCATCTGAGTTTGCTTCTTTCTTTTTTCTTTATTTTTTTTTCCTTTTCTTTCTTTCTGTTTCTTTTTCTCCCATCTTTTTGCTGCATGCCTCTCGTTTAAACTCACTCCATCCCACTCCTCTTCGTCACCCCTCTGAGTTGGCTTGTTTCTTTTTATCTTTCTTTAATTCTTTTTGCTTTTTCCTTTCTTTCTGTTTCTTCGTCTCACTTTTTTCTTTGTCTTCTTGCTGCGTGCATCTCTTTCATGCTCATCTCTCCCACTCCACACCGTCACCCATCTGAGCTCTCTTTCTTTTTATTTTTCTTAATTTCTTTCTCTCCTTTCTCTTTCTTCTTGTCTTTCATGCTCACTTCATATCATTTGTCACCATCTGAGCTTTGTTTTTGTCCTTTTGCCTTTCCTTCATTATATTCTTTCATTATTCATCATCCTGCCTTCCTTCCATCCTGCCTTCCATCCTGCCTTCCGTCCTGCCTTCCATCCTTCCTTCCTGCCATCCTGCCTTCCTTCATTCCTGCCATCCTGCCTTCCTTCATTCCTGCCTTCCTGCCTTCCTTCCTTCCTGCCTTCCTGCTTTCCTGCCTTCCTTACTACCTTCATGTCTTCCTGCCTTCCTTCCTTCCTTCTTTCCTTCCTTCCTTCCTGCCTTCCATCCTGCCTTCCGTCCTGCCTTCCATCCTTCCTTCCTGCCATCCTGCCTTCCTTCATTCCTGCCTTCCTGCCTTCCTTCCTTCCTGCCCTCCTGCTTTCCTGCCTTCCTTACTACCTTCCTGTCTTCCTGCCTTCCTTCCTTCATTATTTCTGTCATTTTGGTCTTCATTCTTGCCTCCCTTCATTCCTTCCTGCCTCACGCTTCTGGTTTCTGCCTTCCTTCCTTCCTTCCTGCCATCCTGCCTTCCTTCCATCCTTCCTCCCTTGCTTCCTGCCTGCTTTCCTGCCTTCCTGCTTTCCTTCCTTCATTCCTTCCTTCCTTCCTTCCTTCCTTTCTGATTCCCTGCCTTCTTTCCTTCATTATTTCTGTCATTTCGCTCTTCATTCCTTCCTCCCTTCATTCCTTCCTGCCTCAAGCTTCTGGTTTCTGCAGTCTCTGCTGAAGGTCATGCTGCATGTGGTCTGCAGTGCGTTACAGATAATATCTACAAAATCCAGTGCAGATCAGATCCTGCAGAAAGTCCATCTTTGTCCCAGACGAAAAGCTGCTGAACAAATAAAAGCTTTATTTCTGAAATGTAATGAATTTCTATCAGAACTTTTAAAACTCATTACGAAACTTAATAAGAGTCGCATTAAAAAGTTCTTCCGCCAAGCAGTGTGTTTGCCAAGCAACACAACCGTCAGATTATTCATCAAAAGCACAGTGTGTTTTAATAACTCACATTAATACAAAATCAAATGAACATTTGTACATATCGAGTATTTTACACCAGCTTCAAACGTGGCTCAGCCAATCAGATTTTAGACACACGACTTCTGTTTATAGACTAAGAAGAACTGGATCCTGAATTGAGCCGTGTGTTCTCTCATTCTGACGACTGAAAGCTCGTATATGAATGATGAAGAAAAGCGTAAACGTTGGCTGATGGAAAGGCCGTCTTTAATGAGCCCTCATTCTGTGGCAGTCTCTGTCCCTCTGCGTGCGAGGAAACAAAGCGCAGGATGGCTTTTATTATTTCATAACGTTCTAATTAGAGCCGCGATGAGGGAGAGGAGTCGGTCTCAGCGCAGCGTCAGCTCCCACGGCTTTAGAAGCGGAGAACGCCGAGCGAGCGTAGGAAATAGAGGGGGTGCAGCTGGGTTTCTGTTTTCTCCCTTCAAGCTGATGAGCTGCAGAAAGAAGTGCTAGCAAGGCTAATGACTCCATCACAGCTTGTAGAAATGAAATAACAGCAGTAAAAATGAGAAACGAGGGTTGGGGGGGGTGAAGAGGGGGAGCGGAGTTAAGGAGGAACGAAGCAGTGCTGTGTAATGTTTGTGTATGTTTGCTATGTAAAGCCTTTAATGGCGTAAACCTACATAAACATTTATAAGGGCTTATTCACACGAGCATGATCTGTCCTGAAAGCTGCTTTTGTCGATTTTGATGTCATTTCACTCTGAAAGTGTCATGACAATTTGGAATAAGCCTTTATGAATGTTTCTACAAGTTTATATATATTAATATATTATATATATTAAGTTTTACACATATATTTTTTTATTTATTTTTTTTAATTATAACCAAACCGACCACATGACAATAGCAAAGCTGATTAAGATATATATATATATATATATATATATATATATATATATACATACACCAGACTTTTTTTCCAAGTCACTTGAGACGACAAAAATTCTTCTGACAACAGCGATCGATATAGATATATATATATATAGATATATGTGTAAAGAAAAATTATATATAAATATATATAAACTTGCTTTCAGGACAGATGATGCTTGTGTGAATAGGCCCTTATAAATGTTTACGTAGGTTTACGTATGTTTATGTTTATGTAGGTTTACGCCATTAAAGGCTTTACATAGCAAACATACACAAACGTTACACAGCACTGCTTCGTTCCTCCTTAACTTTTATTTATATATATATATATATATATATATATATATATATATATATATATATATATATATATATATATTTTATTATATATTATTTTATTTTTACTTCTGTTTCTGGCGGGGCTGAGCAGTGAAGCGACAGCATGGCTAGTTTAAAAAAACAAGGCCTCATCGATAGTAGAAACTTTAAGCTCCACTGCAAAACAAATCACTTTTGAATTAATCGACCAACAAAATTCAGGTCTGAAAACAAATAAAACAAACTCAAGGCTCAAAATGTCATTGAAACCCTCATTAAGAATAGCCTTTACTGTTTTTTTTTTGTATTAATAAAAAAAAAATATTTAATTCTTTTAATATATTTTACCTTATGGAAAGACTTTTTCTTGTGTGGACAAATAAGATGTTTTCTTTTTTTTTTATGTTTGCCATTTCCATCAAGTCATATTTATTAGATCTATTAAAATATGCATACAAATATGTAGATTCCGTTTTTTGGTACCTGTCACCTTCTGTCATGTTTTCTCAAGCGAGCATACTGTGCAAATTTTTGGAGATTTTGTTCAGTATTTGCTCTTTCCATCAAGTCCTGTTTATTTGATTAATAAAATACACATATAAATATGTGGATGGAAACAGACTAGTGACAGTTTGTTCAAGCTAAGTATCCAGTGAGATCATGTTAACTGATTCTCAGTGTTGACTAATGTGGACTGAAGTTTTGTTGATGCAGTTGGTTCAACTTTTCCACTGTTAAATATAGACCAGTCGTTAAATCTGAAAGAGCTACATAAATAATGTCCAGCACATACTGCTGAGCTCCTAGTGTCATGGAAACTAACTGCTCTGCTCATCCTCGCTGAATGCAGTAACGCAGACTGGAGTCCAGTATGACTCTATCGCCCGTTCAGAACTGTTTAATTAGGACTGAATCTATGTTTTACAGTATTCTAATGTGTCTCTCTCTCTCTCTCTCTCTCTCTCTCTCTAGCTCTCAGTGAAGTGCCGTGCTCCCGAGGTCTCTCAGTATGTTTATCAGTGCTATGAGCTGATCCTGCGGAACTGAAGCAGAAGCCAGAGGACACTGCAAGAACCCAGCCTGGACCCAGATCTGCCTCTACAACCACCCCAAACTCAACCATCTCTCTTTCTCTCTCTCTCTGGCTCTCTTTCTCTTAAACGGGCCCTTTCTGGCTCGTGCTGGGCTGCTTTTTGACTGATTGATCCAAACTCCACCCAGAAATGCAGTCTTTCTTAGCAACTGTTGCTAGTGTTAATCAATTTGGGAAGAATATCTAATTGCAACTAATATGACTAAAAATGCGACAGCAGTTTAAATTGTGATTATTTTCTATACGTTAAGGTTCAGGTCGGCCAAGACGACCAGAATATCCACCTTTTCTGGCTTGAGGACTGAATGTAGTGTGCTAGTAAGTTGTGGTTGTGACGTCACAACACATGGAGGTTTGGTTGCTTCTGATTGGTCTGATTTATCTACAAGCAGTTCACGCTCTGTGTTATTAGGTTATATTTCCCACTTAAAACTTAGGACAGAATTTTTATAATGTCGCCTATAATTAAAGAAAAATTGCAACTCTTGGGATTTGAAAATTGCATTCTTTACATTGCGATTTGAAGATTAAAAAAATTATAATGAACGGATCCATAAAAATGCTCCCAAATGACTTGGAATAAAATCTCTTTACATTAACGTTAGAAATGTTTCTGCCTTCGCGTGTAAAGTTGCCATTTTGGAAAGTGATGGAATGTTAAACGTGGAGTTTCTAGCGCTGCTAATCTGAACTAGGCAGGTTGAAAACAACAGCCACCGTGCCATCATTAGTTCAATTACTCGACAAAAATATCTACACCTGATCTGTCCTAACAGTGAGTATGTTTACATGCACTCAATAATCCGATCATAATCTGATTTCTGCAGTTATCTGATTATTCAAATGGTCCTGTAAACAGCACACAATCCATTTAGATCAGAGTAAGGTCTAGAATCTGATTAAGAAATCTGATGAAGATGCTGGATTGTAGCTCAGTAATCAGATTTCTTAGTGCATGTGAACTCTTACTCTGATTTCTTTCGGATTTCTCAGTCTGAGCATGTGCGAAAACAGACGGCGGTACCGGTAATAAGTGAGCAGCGTCGCCGCGAGACGCAGCAAAACACTTTTGGAGCAACAATGAAACCGACTACATGCTTGACGAAATGAAGGATTTAAACATTCTTCATCTTCTAAATGATGTTTGTTCATATTTTCAGGTAAAGTGTTTAAAGTTTGAGTTTTACGTTACGTTTACGTCACGTCATCTTCTGTGAGTTTATTGGCTGGTTGTAAAGCAGAAATCTGATTACTGTCTGACTCATGTAGACCTGGAGTTTCCCCATTATCAGATTACTCAAGTGCATGTAAACGCGTTGATCGGATTACTGACGAAATCTGATTTTCTGCAGTTATCGGATTATTAAGTGAATGTAAACACACTCAGTGTCACAAAGTGAACATAATTGGAAATGAATACGTTACTTTAAATGTAGGTATTTTGACTGTAGTTCTTCAGTTCCTCATTAGGTTGAACAGGATTTTTATCAGTGTCCATCTTTGCAACAGTTGCTGTGAAAGAACGCATTTGTGGGCGGAGCTTGGATAAGCCAGTTGTCCTCTCCATCTTTCTTTATCTCTCTCTTTTTTTTCCCTCCATTTTCCCGTCATGGATAAAATCATATCATTAGATTTCCACGCAGCTGTTTTGTTCAATCCAAAGCACTGTTGAAGAGTGGCTCCTCTTCTGACCACTCGAGTATAAATGGACGATTCTTGGTGGTGGGAGGTCTGTTCATGTGTGTACTACTTATAAATATATCTGCGTGTTTTATCGTGTGTATGTGTGCGTTTACATGCATCGTTTCATAGTATTCACTGTTTAGTTTTGTTCTTGATTAACCATCCGTTGACGTTTCCACTCGAAAAGGTTAGAAAGACCCTCCTTTACTACAGCCGTCGCAGTTTTTATGGTAGAAGGGAATTATTTTTATTTATTTTATTTTTAGATGAAGGTGAAAATGGCCTATAAAAAGTGAAATCGCACACTCTTCTGCCTCTCTCATCCTCCTCTTACACGTTTTATCCTGCAAACGTCTGTTTCTTTTTTGGTAAATCGTCATAAAAACCTTAGAAAAATGTTCGGTTTTGTAAACAGCGACTGTTCTTTACGCATTTCATAACGAATGGACCAATAGAAAAGGTTTCACATCACCACTCTGACTGACTTTGTTACATCTTACCTGTTTAATTATGCAGAAATTTTGAGAAATCAGTGGAATTATTTGGGTTTTTTCCGTCTTTGGTTCTTACATATGAGCTTTTGATGGTCAAGTTTGTATGATGTCATGTTTTGGAGCATTTGGGGTTAAAAGGTTGTAAATATTTGGCATATTTAGAGTTTTTTTTCCCCTTCCCACTTTTGGTGTAGTGGAGATTGTCTGAAAAGTAGAGCGACTTTCACCAGAAAACCATGTCGGGAGGCCTTCATTGCGGCGGGTTGTTTTGAGGGTTAAGAGTTCAAGTGCTTTTCAGGGTCAAACCTGGAGCTCTCGCCTCTGTCCATCTGTTCTGTTGTTTTTCTTTGTGCGACACGCAGCTGGTGGGGTTAATTAGAGACAAAGGCTGTTATTTGTTTAGTTTTTTTTGAAGCTCTCTAGATCATTCCATGTGTGTACATTTGTGTTAACTGATCTATCCCGGCTCCGCCCACAAACGTTCTTTCATAGCTACTGTTGTGAAGTTGGTCAAGCTGGACGTGAAACAGACGTGATGGCATAACGGGAACGTCTGGGCACCACCAGTTTCTCATGAGGACCACCAGTTGCTCGTGAGGATTACCAGTTGCTCATGAGGGCCACTGGTTTCTCATAAGGATCATCAGTTTCTCATGAGGTCCACCGGTTTCTCATGAGGACCGCCAGATCCTTTTGAGTACCACCAGTGAGGGCCACACCTTATGAGGTCCACTCGTTTCTCATAAGGATCACCGGTTCTCATGAGGACCACTAGATCCTTTTGAGTACCACCAGTTTCTCATGAGGTCCACCGGTTTCTCATGAGGTCCACCGGTTTCTCATGAGGACCACCAGTTTCTCATGAGGACCGCTGGTTTCTCATGAGGACCACCAGATCCCTTTGAGTACCACTTGTTTCTCATGAGGTCCACCGGTTTCTCATGAGGACCACCAGATCCTTTTGAGTACCACCAGTTTCTCATGAGGACCACCAGATCCCTTTGAGTACCACTTGTTTCTCATGAGGATCACTGGTTTCTCATGAGGGCCACCTGTTTCTCATGAGGACCACCAGATCCCTTTGAGTACCTCTTGTTTCTCATGAGGATCACTGGTTTCTCAGGAAGACCACAAGTTTCTCATGAGGTCCTCATGACGACCACCAGATCCCTTTGAGTACCACTTGTTTCTCATGAGGATCACTGGTTTCTCATGAAGACCACAAGTTTCTCATGAGGTCCTCATGAGGACCACCAGATCCCTTTGAGTACCACCAGTTTCTCATGAGGTTGAATGGAATTGTTACCAAAGCTTGTCCAGCTTGGCAGCAGTAGCTATGGAAGAGCACTTCTGTGGGCTCAGCTGTATCAGATATGGGTGAACTTTATTTGTAGATGTGCTGAGTTTAAAAGCTACAGGAGCAGGTCTGAGATGTTACCCACCTCACCTTCATCCCAGTGTGTGTGTTGATTTTGTTTGGCTTGGTTTTCATCTGTTTGCTCGTCTTCCGCGTGTTTCTCAGTCTGACCCTGTGGGCTGCTTCACTGGGTAAAGCCTGTAACATTGAAATACAGTGTGTAGTGTTTCTGCTGTTTTCCTGAGGCAGAGAGAGACGGCGGTAGATGAAATCTCCTCCGTTTGCTTTGATTTTTAATTGCGTTTTGTTCTTTGAGCAGCTCGGAGAAGCACAACAAAGGAACGTTCCATGCAAATGTTTCCCATGAAGTATCTCCTCCTTGTTGGTTTTGACAGGTCGGACTGCCTTCAGAGGCAGTAAAACCCTTTTTTCTCCTGTGCAAAAGTCAGAGACCACCCTCATTTCCAGTCTAAACAGCCCTCAAAACATTCATTTTTTAGCATGTGGGAAAAAAGCAGAATCGCATTTAACTGAAAATGACACAGAAGCCTCCACAACTAAATCTCAGCTGTCTGAGTGGTCAGTGAGTCTCTCTTCACCTTTATTTCAGCTTCCATTCTTTTCAGGAGACTCACTTTCAGCTCCTCAAAGAATCTGCAGACACTCCTCCAAAGTTCAGTCTTAGAAGCTGGTTGATCATTTTCTGAACTAATCAAACTCATTCAGTGGTGTTGAGGTCTGGACTCTGGGGTGGTCAGTCCATCGTTCAGCTTCTTTGTTTGATGTGTCCGTCTCCTTTTCTCAGTGAGGTTCTTCTTGATCAGCTACACATCCTTTCAGACCCACAGCGCTGAGTCGTCTTCTCACAGTGGAAGGATGGACAGAAACACCTGTGGATGTTTTCAGATCTGAAGCAGCTTGATTTTCTCCTCTCTCTCAGAGATGAAAGCTTTAAGTGCTGTTTATCTGATGGGGGCAGTTTTGGCGTCAACCAGCTCTTCCAGGTGGTTGTTAGGAGCCACATTTTCTCTGTAGCTTTTAATCAGTTTTTGAGCTCCAGTTTTGTAAACGTCTCTTATTTTCCTTTGACTTTCTCGTTCTTATGTAGGTGGATTATCTTATGTCTGATCTCTAAAAAATAACACATTTGTCTCTAACTAGACACATCAGTGTGTTCAGTTGGAGACGACATTTTGAGTTACTTTTAACAGAATGTTAAAATTTAGTGTATTTTGATGGAAATGAACGAAATGAAGGGTGATTTTTGACTTTTGCACGGTTCTTTTCTTCAAAACAGTCTGGACTCACTTCTCTGTTCTCATTTTAATGATGTTCTTATACCTCAGACATTTCAGTATGGTACCAAAATAAGGAATGAATCGAGAAAATGGGAAATCACCACCATACACGAGTCAACGTTTTAGTTAAATCCCTCAATTAAGGGTCTAATTAAAGTTTTTAGAAAGCGCTCACCTTCCTGCCTGAACGCAGCCCTAGCTTTTCAGTAATGACTCTGATTCCTCGTTTAGTTTGATCACTGTTTGTCTGTGTGCTTGTATGGAAGCGTGTAGAGAGAAGCTGAATCTCTGAGTTCGTATCTCAGCCTGTGGATACAGAAACGCTAATGAGCTGAAATGTCTGGCAAAAAGGAAACATTCTTATCTTTTGTCTTTTTTTCTGGAATGTTTTATTGTGAATATTTGCATCATCTGAAATCAAGATAATAAAAACTGGTATATTCACAAAGGTGTGTAGAGTGGTGTGTTTGTGATACTTCAAAATGAGTTTTCAGTGGTACAGAATTATAATCTGGGTAGATTCTGTTATTAACCATCATGTCTGGTGGCAGCTGAGGGTGGGGGTTTAGTTTATAGGGCCCAAAAAAAAGAATTTACCTTTTATGTATCGGTGTAATGCATGCTGGGTATTGTAGTGAGACGATTGATGAATGAAATAAAAACAATCCCAAATCGTGAATTCTGTCAAACCGACAAGGCTGAGGCCTGTGGATTGGTTTTAATCGTCCCTTTAATTGTTCCATTCACTTGGCGGTGGTAGTATTAGTGTAAAACTGCAATTAACTTACAATTAACCTGCAAATTAATTAACTGAATGATGTTTAGTCATGACTATGCAAATAATGCAGCTGACAGTGACCACCGGCAATTTTAAAAGTAACACTTTTTCATAGAGAAATATTAAAATGTGAAATATGAAGCCTAGCATGGACATGACAGTAAACATTCAGGGGACACGAAAGGCAAAAAAAACTTTAGCAGCTTTATATCAAATTCAGTAGTTTGTACAATAAAGATTACTTGTTCTGTTTGTGTTTTTCATATTTTTAAATACTGAATGTTAA